CTGGGGATCTGTTACAGGGTTCGAGGCTGCATCACTTCTAACCCTGTAACTCTGAGAGCCTCACAATGCTTTGCTACTGTAACTCCCTGCCTGGGACGGTCACAGTCAGCAACAAGCATGCAGGTCACAGTTTGAGTGTCTGTGTATAACTCCCACCCTGGTCCAGCCACTCTGACCCCAGCAACACAGCAGTCACACTCCCTGCTCTCTACCAGCCTGGGTTACCACCAGCAGCGTGACCCCAACACACTCCCAGTCCCAAATTTTCCCCGAACTGTGTGCTCTGCAATGCCCAATGTCAAACAGATTTATTAACAAAAGGTCATAGGTTAAGTGATGCTGACTAAAAGGAATAAAAATAGAGATGGTTACAAGCAAATGAAAGTGAAAATTTGCATCTAAAAGTTGAAAACTGAATCTAGTGAGGTACAGGCTTTATTCAAGATGGTTTCTCTCAGCAATCTTCCTTCTTGCTAGCCAGAGCTGACTTTCTCTCCATCAGGATCTTCCGCAGAAGCCCAAGGGGCTGGCTTTCCTTGTCCTTCTGGGTGAAAGACCTTTGCCTTTTGATTTCTTACCTATATTCAGTTCCCAGAGACTTCAACCCCCGCCCCTTTGGTTGAAGGGCCCAACTTTCTCAGCTCGCAAGAGTGCTGTTCCTTTGTGTCTATCTAATGAGGGATCCCAAAGACGGCTTCTGTCCTTGCTTATGTTTTCCAAATTTCAATGACCTTGCTTCAAGAGGCAGGATGACCTCATGCTCTACTTCCCTTTCTGTGGACTTCCCAACCCCCTACTGATTTCTATGTAAATGGGGCTTCCATTGTTTTTGGTTAAACCTTGCGTTTAGGGTGACCAGATGTCCTGATTTTATAGGGACAGTCCTGATATTTGGGGCTTTGTCTTATATAGGCACCTATTACCCCCCACCCCGTCCTGATTTTTCACACTTGCTGTCTGGTCACCCTACTTGCATTTCACCTTTCATTGCAGCCAGGTAGATAGTTGCCTTCTCTCCTATGTGTTTCTCCCTGTCTGGCCACAGACTTTAAAGCATAATATCATTAGGTGTCCATATTTCCTCATATAGTGTTAATAAGGACCATTCATAATGCTATTAATCACCAGTGTGTCATTAGCTTTCAGAAAAGACCTCACTCTATATACTTCTATAAGTACAGTAAAAAGAAAAGGAGTACTTGTGGCACCTTAGAGACTAACCAATTTATTTGAGCATGAGCTTTCGTGAGCTACAGCTCACTTCATCGGATGCATACTGTGGAAGTGAGCGGTAGCTCACGAAAGCTCATGCTCAAATAAATTGGTTAGTCTCTAAGGTGCCACAAGTCCTCCTTTTCTTTTTGCGAATACAGACTAACACGGCTGTTCCTCTGAAACCTATAAGTACAGTAATATTATATCCAATCAGTTGATTCAGTTGCTTATCACTTGAGGTTCAGCTCCTCCGTCTTTATACACCAGTAAACGTTTGCAATATATTCTCCTGAATGTTACTCCTCCAAGTAAAGTTTATGTGAGGAAGGCAACATGGGGTCGTGTGGTGATGGAAGCTCCATGCTGGGTTTTTTTCCCCCTGCTGGTATTAGCTAAAATTCAAATTCTTCTGTTCCCTGCAATCTCTTTCCTCAGATGTCTGGATAGTCCCGTTTATAGGTAAATTGAGGTAAACATGCATTCCTTTGTTTAGGACAAACCTGTGTCACACCTTTACCAAGGCAAGGCTGTCTGGTCTTGAACATGTTCTCGTAACATCATATGGGGGAACTTGTAAGTTTACATATAGTGTTGCTACGTACATTTCACCATGGTATGGTTGATAGTGCTTTGTTTTTAAATGATACCTCACAAGGGCTGTTTTGGGCAAAGATCGGTGCAATAGTGTGGCGGGGTGTGTGTACCTGGATGTTGTGGGTCACAGGGTCAAACCATGGCTCTGATCTGGGCACAGGGATCTCCGGGCTGGAGCACCCAGGAGGAAAAAACAGTGGGTGTATTTAGCGGCGGGGAGGAGATGCTCAGGGAGGGGGCAGAGCTGGGGCGCAGCGGGGTGGGAAGAGGCGGAGTGAGGGTGGGGTGTTGGGGGCGGGGCCTTGGGGCAGAGTGGGGGTGGAAGCACCCAATCAGCAAAATGAAAGTCAGCACCCATGCTAGCACTGCACATGTATCACAGCTAATGGGTGGCATCTACTGTCCCTTTAAAACTGATGTCGGCAAGAGAGCTAGGTCTCAAGTTAGTCACTGACCTAACACTCATGAGTTAAACGGATTCCACTGAGCATGCCCAGAAAAGGCAGCCAACAGGCTTTTGAGTGTACCATTTCTCATGAAGTTGAATAGCTCAAGGGCACGTGCAGTTGCCACTGTTCAACCCAACCTTCAGCCAGTGGTAGCTTGTATCCAATCGAGGACTAAACTCTGTCTCTCTTGGGGGACAAGGCAGGGGAGATAATACGTTTTATTGGACCGACTTCCCTTGATGAAAGAGACAAGCTTTCGAGCCACACAGAGCTCTTCTGCAGGGCAGGGAAAGGTACTCCGAGCATCACAGCACAATGCAAGGTGGAGCAGGTTGTTTAGCAAAAGCAGTTAGCACATATTGTAAGTGACCATTCAAGGCAGACCATCACCACCTCTGCAGGCATAGGACCAAAAGAGAGGGGTAGCGGGTTACAGGTTGGCCTAATAAGCCATAAATCCAGTGTGTCTGTTCAGTCCTTGATTTTAGGTGTCTAGCAGTTATGAATTTAAGCTCCCAGGCTTGTCTTTTGAAAGTGTTGGGCAGGTTTGCTTTGAGGATGGGGACTGAGAGGTCAGATATGGAGTGATCACTTTGTGAAAAGTGTTCACCTCTTTTGTCTTTTAGCATTTTCTTGTGTGAGTTCGTTCGAGAGCGTAGTGATTGTCTTGTTTCACCCACCTCGTTGTTATTTGGGGAGTTATTTTGGGGAAGTGTCATCAAGCTACTTTTTAGAAATAAAATAAATTAGACACACGATTGCTTGTTGAGAGCGAAAGGGAATTTGGAGACAGATGTGATGGGTGGGAGAGGGGTTTGGGGCTGCAGTGACTCGGAGGAGAGGGGCTATAGGGCCAGTGACTGTTGAGGCAAGTTTATATCAGCATTTGATAATTAAGAGAATATGAGGAAAACTCTGAGAAGATTACACAAATTGGCTATCTTGAGACAGGGGAAAAAGCAAAATCTGAAAGGTTTGATATTGATAGTGGGCATTTAGAGGAAAAATAAGCAATATTTGTGCACACAATATATTAGTAATCCCTAAACAGAAAACTTTATCAACAGCTGTAGGGGTTTTATATTAAAATTCAGTATGTGACTAAAAGGGAGAATAGCGAGAGATTGTGCAGCCATATTTGAATACTGGAGAGAAAAAAGCCAAGAACAGAGGGGATTATAGCTACAGATTAGCTAATTATATAGAAGAACAGAAAAAACAGGAGGGCTTTATATTAACATTACCCTCAACCTGTTACATTAAAAGGTAGTTCTTAAGGCTGAAAAGTCAAGCAGTTTCAGTTAGGCAGTGCCAGAATCAAGGATGTGTGGGCAAAGTTATTTCTTTTCCCTTGTGTCTTGGCATTAGGATATAATCTCTCATGATAAGATCACATGCTACTGCGCTTATTAGCACAGGACATCTCTCCTGGAGCAAACATGTCCCTGTCAGCACTTAAAACTGGGAAGATTTGCCCATCTCTGTGGAATTCAAGCTTGTTCCCGGGGCAGCCATGGGGTCAGATTAGTAGATGAATAATCATCCCCAAAACAAACACATTCTCCTCTCTGCTGTGTCACCATCTCTGCTCCATCTTAGTCATGGCAAAACACACTGACTCCCTTGAAACAGCTGTGTGTGGTGTTAGTTACATTTTCTCTGTGTGGGCCACAAATTGTGCTTTTGCCCTTTCTGCTTGTCATTTTGAACAATTTAAAACTGAAATCCATTTTTCTGAAGCTTTACTGGAGTCTGGAAACGAGTGTGGATGTGAACTGTTGACTCAGAGAAGTCATAAAACTTACACAAAAAAATCACTCTTCGGTTCAAGGGTTGCCCTGTACAGAAATCTTCATGTTCCGGGTGAAGTCGGGAGAAAATACTGACAGAATCAGCCCACAGCAAGTAGGACACAACTTGTTCCCAGGTCACAGGATGCCTCTGATATTAAGCCAGGAAGTGATTGTAAGTCTGGCAGTCCCTGGGATGGGGATGTTAGACTGTTCAGCATCTAACGCAGCACAGCCAGGCTGGATCGACGCACACGACTGTCACTGACACAACTATATAGGTTTAATTCCCCCCATTGGTTATTTCAGTGCAAATCTGTATGTGTCTGAGACACTCTTGTTTCAGATGAAGAGCAGCCTAAATTTGTTTCTTTTCATATTCATCACCCACTTACTTTATCCTCCCCCCGCCTTTTCTTTCCATTCCCTTTTTATTTCTCTACCCCCTTCCCCTCGCATTCCTTCTCCTCCTCACCCCATGTAGGTCAAACTTCCTTATTTTCTTATCTTTCCTCTATTCCTTCTCCCCCCCCCTCCTTTTTCTGCACCTTCTGCTCCTGTGCTGGAGAGCAGCTGATAGCAGATCAGGCAGGGACCTTTCATTATCAGCAAAATCACTTCTGATTTGGAGCAGAAGGGAGAGAGAACGGAAGCCCAGCTCCTAGCTGCCATGGCTTCAGGGACTTCTGAACAGGGACTCCAAGAGGAAACCAAATGTCCCATCTGCAGAAACTATTTCACGGAGTTAGTGAGCGTAGACTTTGGGCGTAGCTTCTGCCGGGGCTGCATCTCTCAGCACTGTGACACATGGACAAAAGGGGACTATGACCCTTTGTGCTGTCCCATGTGCAGAGCCCTGATCCAGAAAGAGAATCTCTGGGTTGACTGGGACCTGGCAAGATTAGTAGAAATCTATTGAAATAAAAGATTTTGTTTCAATATTGCCTTTATTCCTTTTATCATATTATATACAATAAAATGTTAAACAAAGGTCATTTTGAAAAAAAAATCAAAATGTTTTGTTCTGTAAGTATCAAAAGGGGCATTTTAACATTAATGAAATGCTGTGTTTAATTTTTTTTCTAAACTAAGTTTTGTTGAAATCGACACACTCCCATGGAAAGTTCAGATATCGATGACATGGTATTTTCCGAAGAAAAAACATTTTGTCTCTCAATTTTCAACCAGCTCGACTAGATGTTTCCCCATCATCAGACATTTTACCAAAAATTTTTCCTGTGTGCATCTAACATAGCTAGAAAATTGTAATGGTAGTTGTGAATGACAATGTGTCCTTCATTGCCAGTCTATAACTGGGCAGATGGTCAGGGGAGCATCCTCTTTAGATCCATGTATACCTGGACTGAAGAAAGGCCGAAGTGTCCCAGGGAAGCTATATCTGAAAGTGTAGATATGGGAGTCATCAGATAAATTGTAAAATGAGAGCTCTCCTGCCTCATAGTCCAGAAAAATCCCAACCCTCGTGGGTTTTGTTTCCACGGTGATTGTTGTCCGAGGAGTGGAGAGGGCTTTGTATTCTCCATTCCACAACCTTATGGCCCAGTATCCATCTTCAGGTGCTATACTTTTGTACCTCTCCCTGTTTTCTGATTCAGCAGAAACCCCCAAGTGCCACATAGTCTTGTTCTTAAGCTCCACTTCCCAATAATGTCTCCCAGAGTTAAATCTCTCAGAGCCCAGGACACAGCGATAAGAATCAACAATGTCCAGATCTTTAGGTTGTTCCCCCGTTATGTCTGCACATTTCATACTTTTGAGGTTCTTTGACACCCAGAGTTCAGGATGTGCTGTTTCTTGATCCAGAGTCACATTCACTGGAAGGAGGAAAGAGAGAGTTTTCCTTTTGGTGGAGATAATCCAAAAACATATTTAATAATATTTACATATTCACACCTAGTCATTTTAAATCTGTTATTCCTTTAAGTTAATAACATCTGGGAAGCCATCACAGTCTATCGAGCCCATGTTCATTTTACCATAAAAGTAGTAGAGTTTCAGTATCTTTGTGTAGAAAAATTACAAGTTAAATGATCAGGTTTATAAGCATATTGTTATTGGTTTGAATGTCATCATGATTCCTTCCACTAGCCCAAAGGTGCCGACTCTATGGGTGCTCCGGGGCTTGAGCACCCATGGGAAAAAATAGTGGGTGTTCAGCACCCATTGGCCACCTGCCGATCAGCTGTTTGGCAGGCCCCATCAATCAGCTCTTCCCCCATCCCCTCCAGAACCTCCTGCCCACCACCAATCAGCTGTTTGGTGGCATGCAGGAGGCGCTGGGGGGAGGGAGAGTAGCAGCCACGGGAACAGGGGAAGAAGTGGAGCGAGGGCAGGGCATGCTCGGGAGAGGGGGTGGAGTGGGGCTGGGAAGAGGTGGGGTGGGGTGGAGCAGGGGTGGGAAGAGGCAGAGCGAGGGTGGGGCCTTGGGGGAAGGGGTAGGGCCAAGCAGGGTGGAGCACCCCTGGGGAAAGCTAAAAGTTGGCATCTGTGCACCAGAAGTTCATAAATAGTGTTTCGTTGTCCTGGATCTAGAGAAAGAGGTCTTTAAATCAATTTATCCCCTACAGGATGGGCTATCTTCTCCTCCATCTCCTCCAGCCACCTCCTAAACACAGCGAGTGGAAACATGATCAGGCATATTTTCATTAGCTATTTCTGGGAGGGAGTTATTTGCGGGTGGGGTATTTGGTGCGGGCATGGTGAGAAGACAGGAGTGTTTGGCATTTATTCATTTATGGAGTGAGCATTTGGAATGTTATTTGCTCCTTTGATGGAAGGGGGGCTACTCGTTCAGTGTGGAGGGAATTGGTTTTGTTGTGTTTTGTTTTATCTTTAGATTTCTATTACAGGGATTGTGGTAGAACTGGTAGTTGGAGAAAGAGGGGTATTTGGGTACATTCAGCTGGGGTGACAGACCTACCTCTTTTGGATGGCTAATACTGTGCATGTAGAGAGGGTTGAGGGTAACGAGAGAGGTGAAAGTGATATCCCTGGTGTTAAGTGGAAGAGGGAATAGGAGGATATAATGACCCTCCTGTCCTAGGTGTGGATGAGAAACCTGCTAGAATGAGCTGGCCAAATTTTCAAAGGAGCTCCAGAGCCAATGTGATGAACTCTTGAAAATCTAGCCCTAAAAGCCAGAAATCACCTGCCTTGTTTCCCTGTGACCATCACTAAAGGAAATTCAGAGAATCCAAGCAATCATACAGAATCCCTGCAATCAGATCTCTCTGTCCTTGGCTCACAGCAGCATTGCTCAAACGTCTCAGTTATCCGTATCAGGACCTACAAAACGGGGTGTAATAACCATCTCCTTGAAAAGCCTATTCTTCCCTCACCCTTCCCTTTACCAGACTAATAAAGTTATCTCCAGCTATGATAGGAAGAAAATAACTTACAGATAACATTTAAGGCCCAGATTTACCTCCATCCCATATAAAATATGGAGTTGTCTCATTTTGTATGTTATTTACATCAAAGACGTTGAGAACGGTGGTTGTAGATATTTGCAGTAGCTCTTAGAGGAGCATTTATTAAAGCACCTAAATCATGGGTGTTTCAGTTGCACTGACACTAAGAACATAAGAACGGCCATATTGGGTCAGACCAAAGGCCCATCTAGCCCAGTATCCTGTCTTCCGACAGTGGCCAAGGCCAGGGAATGAACAGAACAGGTAATCATCAAGTGATCCATCCCCTGTTGCCCATTTCCACCTTCTGGCAAACAGAGGCTAGAGACACCATCCCTGCCCATCCTGGCTAGATGAACTACTGTTTGAGTGCTAAGCTACATGTTAGGATGGCTAAACATTCATAGCCAAATAAGAAAACTATTCTTTCAAGATGGTCTTGTTCTGAGGTGGGACAATATTTGAACCACAGTGGCAGGACACTTCAGATACAGGAGATCTCCCATCCAAATTTGGATTGGCTTGTGTTTTGGGAGTGAATGTGTGCGGATAATAATTATGTCTAACAAGTCATGGATTTAAGCATGATTCTCCACATGGAAGCAAGGCACTTAGATACATGTTCCCTTCTGAGGCCTCACTCTACTCCAATGGAATAAATTAGGGGCTACAGCACAGATCTCTCAATGCATCAGATTTCATAGAATCATAGAAGAGTAGGACTGGAAGGGAACTCAATAGGTCATCTAATCCAGTCCCCTGCACTAATGGGAAGGCTAAGAAGAATATTATCTAGACCACCTCTGGCAGATGTTTGTCTAACCTGCTTTTAAAAGCCTCCAATGATGGAGATTCTACAGCCTTCCTAGGCAATTTATTCCAGTGCTTAACCACCCTGACAGTTAGGAAGTTTTTCCTAACGTCCAGCTTAACCTCCCCTTGCTGCAATTTAAGCCCATTGCTTCTTGTCCCATCTTCAGATGTTAACGAGAACAATTTACCTCCTTCCCCTTTGTAACAACCTTTTATGTACTTGAAAACTGTTATGTTCCCCCTCAGTCTCCTCTTCTCCAAACTAAACAAACCCAATTTTTTCTATCTTCCCTCATAGGTCATGTTTTCTAGACCCTTAATCATTTTTGTTGCTCTTCTCTGGACTTTCTCCAATTTGTCCACCTCTTTCCTGAAATGTGGCACCTAAAACTGTACACAATACTTCAGTTGAGGCCTAATCAGCGTGGAGTAGAGGGGAAGAATGACTTCTCGTGCCTTGCTTACAACACTCCTGCTAATACATCCCAGCATGATGTTTGGTTGTTTTGCAAAAGTGCTACACTGCTGACTCATATTTCTGTTCCTCTGAGCTCTTTGTCCTGTTTATAATGTTATGGGTTGGGCTAAACCCATAAAAGTTGGTGGGTCTAACAGCTGCCTTTCATTCAGTATCAATGGGGAAAGGAATTGAGCTCCTTTATGTAACCATGTAGCTGAAACAATAGTGTTTTCCACCAATAACACAAGCAAATAATATGGCCCAAGAGAAAGGCACATGTGAGGTGTATGTGGGCAGAGGGGTTTCAGTGGGTATTGTTTCAGTGGAGGTGTATGTGTGAGAGAAAAGCAGGAAGAACAAAGCAGAAACAGACACAGATAAGAAGCAGAAAGTGAGGGACACATCCTGAATAGACATTGGGAGTTTGGCCCAGGGAAAAAGCCTAGAGCAAAACTTTTGTGGACTGAATGTTAGCTGAAAGAGGCTTGGGACTGTGCAAAACGAAACTATTTCCTCTTGTTTGATTCTTCCTGTATTCAGGGATTCATGGCTTTCTACAGTCTTTGTAAATAAACAGGATTGCATCAAAGAAATAGCTGACTCCAACATCAATTTTTCCTCCTAACAAACAACCTGCAGGACCCCAAATGCGGCTGACTGCTCAGGTCTAAAAGGGGTAAACAGTTACTTGCATTTTTATATGATCACCTCTTACATCTCTCTTGAGAGCCAATACTTTTTTATCCTGTTAATTTTGAGAAGAAAAGGGAGCACAGGTCTTTGAAAGAAAGGTATTTTGACATTGGTAACATGTCAATTTCAGTTACCTGCAAATCTTCCGGCTTTTCTGAGCACTGAAACAAAGGTACAAAAACAGCTGAAGACTTGTCCAAATACATGCAGTCTTAATATAATACAATTTGGTACCACTTTTATGGCCAGGAAAAAATATTTGTTAAACCCAAATCAGAATGCTACAAGCCTTACAAGAATACTGTGGTTTTGAACTATAGAATCATAGAACATCAGGGTTGGAAGGGACCTCAGGAGGTCATCTCAACTAACCTACTGCTCAAAGCAGGACCAATCCCCAATTTTTGCCCCCAGATCCCTAAATGGCCCCCCAAGGATTGAACTCACAACCCTGGGTTTAAGCAGGCCAATGCTCAAACCACTGAGCTATCCCTCCCCTTTAACAACAACAATGGATTTGCACAGCTCTATTTGTATAAACTGTCCACTGTGGGAACATGCCTCACCTCTGCTCTGAGGCTCTAGACCAGTTTCCCTTTGTTCAATATATGTTGATGAAAAGCTTGTTTCCCTGACCGGGAATCAAATCCTAACCACTAGACCACCAGGGAAGTGGTAAATGGTGACTATGGTGACTACCTGTTTTTCTGAGTACTTTATCTCAAAAATGCCTTCTCTCAGTAACCTCAAATACACTCATATTTCCTCTGCCCAAAGATTACGTATCCTAAGAGATAAAGCTAAAATACCCTTCACTTGGTATATTAGAAAAGGGGAGAGAACCAGGCTTACAATGGTCAGGAATATTCAGTCTTAACTATGGAGTGGCTGCTTTTTCATAGTAATAGAGGAAAATGGAACTTACCAAATCCTGCAAGATATTTTTCTGAAACAAACAGAAAACAAGACCTGAAATGAATAATGCTGGAAAGAAAGACACTCTAGCACTGTAGCAGCTGTGCTAGTCTGTATTCGCAAAAAGAAAAGGAGGACTTGTGGCACCTTAGAGACTAGATTTATTTGAGCATAAGCTTTCGTGAGCTACAGCTCACTTCAAGTTGTTAGTCTCTAAGGTGCCACAAGTACTCCCTTTCTTCTAGCACTGTGTCTCCTGCCATTTTTAATTAGTTACATTACCTAACCTCTGATTTACTTGATAAGTGGTTAAAAGATACATTCACCCTTTTGCAGTGGGCCATCAATATTATGCATCGCTTAAATCAAACGAAGGTTTAAGCATGCTTCAAGCAGTGCATCGGTCTGTGAGGTGACCCCTCTCCACAGAGATCAATTTCACCTTCTAAGATTTCCAGTTGCCAAGATACAGTGCGCACATTTAAAAAGTGCATTCAGGTTTTACAGGTATTACTGGTTCCAATGATATTCCCTATGCTGAAAATGGGGGATACCACTGACACAGGTAATGGCCAGATTCATTGCAATGCTTAACCTCTAGGTGCCTTGATGCCTTCAGGAATTCTCAGCCCTGAGTTGAGTTTGAGGAAAGTTGCTCTGGTAATTTTAAAGTTATAAACGTTTATATCATATTCACTCCAGTGATGTCCTGGCTTATAAACAAAAAGGCTCTTCAATGAAACCTAAAGTCACAGCCTATCTTTCCTTAGGTGCACAGCTATGGAAAGAAAGCTCTGTTAGCAAACGTGTAATAAGCAGTTTCCGAAAGCGCATCCGAGCAGCAGCAGCCTAAATATACCGTCCGATGTAAAACTCTTTGAAATTTTTCAGCTTTTGATTTTATAGTGATGTTTTTTCATCAAAAACTCAAATTTTGACTAATACAGTAAAATATCTTGAAAAGGGTTTGCAAGTTGTGCTTATTTGATTGATTTAACCAGCTGCAATCAGAATGTTTGATATCTCTAATTTTTCTCTGTAATGTTTCCTCTCTGTGAGGAAAACATTCACTTTTGGTTTACTTAAAAACACCTCTTCTACCAGAGATACAAAGATAAGCTTTTATTATTTTTTCTTCATTTTAGAGACACATTTAGGTCAATGAAATTTACCTTTCTCTTTCTCCACTTGAAATCATAGTTTATCTAGAGGAAGAAGAGAATGAAATACGAGATTCCATATTGTCGTATTTTTGGTGATATTCCTACTGTTATTTCATATAATTATGCTAAAATTATTAAAAACAATGTGAGACAGAAAGATTGAAAATCTTTCTCCTATTAAAGACAAGATATTGAACTAGATGGGCACACATCTAATCCAGTATGTCCATTCCTGTTGCCTATGTTCCTATGAAATAAGGACAGACACAAGTTGATCTTTCTGTGGAAGCCCAATTACAATTTATTAAAATTAAAAACATACTAAAATAGACTTTTTTGATCTTTTCCCTGAAATCAAGACCATAAAGACCACTTGTACAAAGTCTCATTCTAATAACGGGTTGCAGCATTGCTCTCACAAGATGGGTTGGTCCAATAAAAGATATTACTTCACCCACCGTGTCATCACAGACATGGACCAACCCCACAAGTTTGGGTGTTTTTTTCTATATAAATAGGTTTTGTTATACTATTTACTGAAGCCTTCAACTTCTACTGTTCAGAGGATGTTCTTTCAGTGAAAATTTGACGGCCAATTGGCAATTAAATGGGTGATAGAGGGCCTCAGAGGGAGAGCGGTGGTCTTTGTCTCCTAGTTTGGTAATTGTGGTGTATTAGGACAGTGAAACTCCACAGCAGAGATTGATGGAATCTAGCCGGTGCTACTTTTGGCCTCCCTGGGAGTGTTTTCTGGTTTATGACCTTTGCCTGCAGCTCAAACTATGGTAGGCTGTGTGGCCAAGTGAGTTTCTGGAGAATCAGAGGTGACCAGAAGCTGGGAATGAGCGACAGGGGATGGATCACTTGATGATCACCTGTTCTGTTCATTCCCTCTGGGGCACCTGGCACTGGCCACTGTCAGAAGAATTTAGAATTTGCTGCTTATCAGCTGGAGCAAGAAGCAGTCTATGGTTGGAAAATTGGCCACGGTCAACTCCTTGCTATAAGAATTATTCTTTGATTTCACTGCATTTATTAGCATTGATACAGTCAATAAATCTGTGGCCTATGTGCCATTCTTTCCAATCAGAGTGTGAGGATCCTCCTTATCTATCCTGGGTAAAGTCTCTTCTATCTGATCGTTCAGATAAACCACTCCTGGGGCTACAGACTGAGCTTCTAGGGGGCTTTACTGAAAGGTTTGCAAATGTAATGGCTGCCAAATCCCTCTGACCACACTTCCCAGCATTCGTGGAGTCAGAAGTGTGGGCAATAGGGACTGAAACCCATGTTGAGGCCAGTAGCAAGGCATCTGCATGGGGTGACCATATGTCCTGTTTTGGCCAGGACAGTCCCTTTTTTAAGCCCTGTCCCGGCCGTCCCAACTTTTTTGACAGGAGTGTGAACTTGTCCCATTTGCTCAGTTGGCAAGAGCAAACGGGACAAACACTCTGTTTTGTCAAAAAGGTGGGGTGTGAAGGAACAAGGGGGGAGTGGTGATGCCAGCCCCATGCAGGGCTGGGGTGGGGGGCAGGCAGGCTTCGGGCAAGCAGCGACTCTAGCCCTACCTGGGGGTGGGGGGCAGGGTTTGGGTGAGTGGTTCAGGCCAGCCCTGCGTGGGGAGGGGGCCTTGGATGAGCATCTTTGGGAAATATGGTCCCCATCTGCAGGGGCTGATCTGGACATGCAGTCCGCTGGCCCAGTGTCACCAGTGCCGCACAGCCCCCATCCCGAGGACAGCCTGATTTAAGTTTACACACAGAGTTTAGGACCATTTCGGCTTTGAGTTCGGAAGGAAGCTGGGGGAGAGACAGCGCAGCTCAGAGAGCCCCTGCTAAACTCCCAGTCCCCCCGATGGAGTCCTTGCTTCTCTGTGAGATCTAGCTGCATGGACCAGGCATTTCCAGCACTGCAGTGACCGGCATCCAGCAGAGAGAGATCTGACCCAGCGTCAGTTCCAGAGAGACAGCTGAGACTCCGGGAGAATTCCAGACTGAGAGAATACCTGAGCCTGGTTGGCATCCAGAGAGGACCCTGCCCCACCCAGGGGTGAAGATAAACTAAGGGAACTTTTATTTAAGCTGGCCGATACTACAGTGCTGCAACACTCCATCTTGGGACACCCGACCTCAGCCTGCAGTGTTGGGAAGGTGCCAGGGTGGGAGCTGGGGTTTGGAGGACTTTGTGAGTGCTCAGAGGCAAGGAAAAGGGTTGTTTATCAATGTTTATTAAGTATTAGTTAAACTTAACCCCTTCCTTCTCCACATCCTAATTTTCCTGTTCCCAATAATGTCCCTACCTCAGTTATGCTCTTATTTTGGGTGTATTATGACGTTGCTAAGTTTGTTTTGTTTGCCTTGTTGTCCCCTGTGTACTAGGCTTTACATTCCTTGCCAGCTCGCAGTAATTGTACTAATTTTCTCAGGGGACAGCACCCCTGCGTACATAGGTGCTGACTCAATGGGTGCTCAGCACCCACCTGCCACAGCTGTTTGGTGGCTGGAGGATGAACGTGGGGAGGGGGGAGAGCAGTGAGCGGCAGGGGCCTGGATTGGAGCGGGGGCAGGAAGAGGCAGAGTGAGGGGGGGGGGCCTCAACAGAGGGAATGGGGATGAGGGAAGAGATGGAGCGAGGACAGGGGCCTCGGCGGAGGGGGCAGAGAGGAGGGAAGAGACAGAGCGAGGGCAAGGCCTCAGGGGAAGAGGCAGAGTGGGGGTGGGGCCTTGGAGTGGAACGGGGGGAGGGGGCGGGAGCACCCCTGGGGAAAAATTAAAGTCAGAACCTATGCCTGTGTATATGTAAACTCTTAATATTGGCCATTGCAAGCACCAGAGAGAGAAAAAAGGGAAGAGGCGTAAGCCACACCTCGGGGGGGGACGGGACTACAGATACATGATAATAAATGTTGTTTTCTTGACTTACCTTATTGCATGGACTATTTATATCAGATAGTTCACTTGCCCCATATAACCCATAAACTTACCTTCAAAGTCTTTCAATTTACAGCGCAGAGAATCTATTGGAAGGAAAAGATCAGATATGTTAGATGTCATCCTATCAATTAATGGTGACATTTCAACTAATATTTATTGTAATTTTGCTACAATTGTGATAGAAACAGAGATAACTGAAAAACAAACAGAAACCGGTGTACATGATGTGGAAGTTAATTTACAATTAATCAGAAACCAAAAAAAGGTTAAAATAGTTTTGGGTTTTTTTCATCTCACAGTAAGTAGATGTACGTTTGGATTGTTTTCCATACCAAGAAACAGCATTCAGCTTTGTTTCACTATAGACAAAAGAAGCAGAATTATATCTTTTGTTTGTATCTTGCATTTCCTCATTACTATGCCAAAAAAAGAAGACATTCTAATAGTATAAAAATGATTTCTGTACAATTTCCATTTCATAATGAAACTTTTAAGATGAAATTATTTTTTCTAAAGTCTTCTTCTGACTCAGAGAATTGCATAACATTTCTTCACTGTATTGTATTTTAACTTGTCTTAATTGTACTGTATTTTGTAATATACAGAATTTGTAGGAGTTCTCTTTCACATACAGCAGGGGTGGCCAAACCGTGGTTCACAAGCCCCATATGGCTCTTTTACAGTTAAAGTGTGGCTCGTGGAGCCTGCCACACCCACCCCTTCTCCGACTATCAGGCTGGGACGGAGCTCGGGGTTTCTGCCCTGCGGCAGGGTGGTGGGGCTAGGGGCTTCTGTACAACAGGGAGGGGGGCCTTGTGGCTTCTGCCCCATGGTGGGCATTGTCGGTGCTTCAGCCCCAAGCCCCAGCAGGCACTTCTCACAGGGCAGAAGCCCCTAACCCCACCACCCCTCCACTGGGCAGGAGCCACGGCAGGTAAGCCCTGCAGGGCTGAAGTCCCAAGCCTTGGCAGGCACACCCAGCCACAAGTACTGGCTTCTTCCGGGGGTGTTCAAACCCCCGTTCCACCCCAGGCCCCACCCCCACCTGACCCCTTCCTCCAAAGCCCCACTCCTGCCCCCACTCTGCCCTGGGCCCCACCCTAATCCCACCTCTTCTCTCAAACCCTCACCCCGCCCTGCCACGTCCCTCCCAGTTCTGCCCCCTCCCTGAGCACACCCTGTCCCCGCTCCTCCCCTCCCCCCAGCGCCTCCTATATGCTGCGGAACAGCTGATCGCGGCAGGCGGGAGGCACTGGGAGGGAGGGGGAGGAGTTGATCAGCAGGGAGAGGAAGGGGGGAGCTAGATGCCGGTGGGTGCTAAGCACCCACTAATTTTTTTCCATGGGTGGTCCAGTCCTGAAGCACCCACGGAGTCAGCGCCTAAGGCGCCCAGTCCTTGACCTTCTGAAGATTATCGTATGTGGCTCAGAGGCTCAGTACGTTTGGCCACCCCTGACACAGAGTGTCAAGATGCCTCTTCCAGAGGGACGGTTTTAAGTATCTGAAGGCTGCGGCTCTCTTCCACGCTTGGTTTACAAAGGGGCAGAGTTTCCAGATAACCTGCCGACAGTTAGACCGTGACACGGTGTAACGATTGGCCACAGTCACCCTGTGGCTGTGCATAGGGAGCACGGGAGAACCCCAAGGGAAGCTGAACACTGAACTGAAACCCTCTGTTAACCCTTCTCTACATCACCCTCTCTCATTTTAAAAATCTCTCCCTGACTATATCTGTATCACGGCCGTCCCTAGGGGGGGTGCGGGGCCTGGGACAACCCTCCCACTCTGGCCCAGGTGCCGCCCCCACACTACCCCTTCCCCCAACCCCCGCCCCGCCTCTTCCTGCCCCTGCTCTGCCCCTCCCTGCCCCATTCCATCCCTTCCCCCAAGCCTCTGCCCTGCCTCTTCCCGCCCCTGCCCCACCCCACATCTTCCTGCCCCTGCTCCGCCCCTCCCCACCCCATTCCACCCATTCCCCCAAGCCCCTGCCCCGCCTCTTCCTGTCCCTTCACCATCCCACCTCTTCCTGCCCCTGTTCTGTCCCTCTCCGCCCCATTCCACCCCTTCCCCCAAGCCTCTGCCCCGCCTCTTCCCACCCCTTCCCCACCCCACATCTTCCTGCCCCTGCTCCACCCCTGTCCGCCCCATTCTACCCCTTCCCCCAAGCCCCACCCCACCTCTTTCTGGCTTCCGCCCCCTCCCCCGAGCAATGCCAGGAGCCGGCGGGATGGGGCAGAGCGGAGCGGGCTGGGGCCGGGTCACTTGCTGCTGCTGGCATCAGGCCCTCACTAATCACCCAGGCGCCCCTGGACTCCATGTCCCGAAACGCAGGGCCCCCCAAAGCACGGAGCCCGGGGCAGTTGCCCCGGTCCGTCCTATGGACAGGACGGCTCTGACTGTACTGTCCCCTTTATTTCATGTATTACCTTTTTCTTTGTGTTGCTTCCGTAAACAGTAAATAAGCAAGGGAATGAAAAAACCCAAAACCAACAGGTTTAGTGACAGGCGAATCACTGTCACGTGGGAGACCTTTGGGAAAAAAGAATCTGAAAAACAAATGAATATTATTAATTTATTATGAATTATTATTATTTTTTATTAAACTTATTATTGTCTCTCTTTTTTCCAATACCAGCATCCCAGTTTTAACCCCAGTGTCAACCGTCTGTCGAGTGGTAGCAAATATCTGGGTCTTGCACGTCAGTTTCCCGCAGAGGAAAACCAGTGACATGAAGTCAGGGCATATTCTCAGTGTAATTGACTTTATTTACACAGGGAGACTAGTCCTGAAATGAATGTAGGCCAGTGGTTTTCAACCTTTTTTCATTTGTGGACCCCTAAAAAATTTCGAATGAAGTTGCGGACCTCCTTAAGAAATCTTAAGACACAGGCTGCTAAACCCCGGGAGTCCATGGACTACAGATTGAAAACCACTGATATAGGACAGTTTCTCGAACCAAACTTCATATCAATGGATGTATGAACTGACCTGCTATATAAACGCTTGATACTTCTTCTTCATTCAGGATGTTGTTTCTGATTGTGCAGGTCAGATTCTGGTTGGAATTTTCTGTTACAATAAGTACCGATTCAGTCTGAAACAGCCCATTTTCATCACGGAAGCATTTTCCAGGCAATGATGGGAGAGGCTGTCCTTTGAGATCCTTCCACAGTGACTGAGGCTCTGGATACCATCCTCCCGATCGACACACCATTTGGATACCTCCGTCCTGGTAACCCTCAATAGAGATCAGGGGATTAGTACCTGAAACTGGAGAATGAAGTAAATCTGCATTAATTGTATATTCTGGGTTAAAAATTTAACATATTCGGCAACAGAGCATTGAGGGCTAGACTGATCCTTTAGGCTCAGCCTTGAGTAAGGGAGGACACATTTATCCTAAGGATAGGATAAATGAGGAGCAGCCTTGAAAGGAGCAGCCTTGAAAGGAATTATGACTCAGAGAGCCACAATTACCCCTTTACTACTCTTTTGCTGTGGGGAGGGAAGTAAGAGGCTACAAAAAGAGAAACCCCTATAATAACAGGGGATTTCAACTGTCCACATATTGATTGAGAACATGTCTCCTCAGGATGGCATGCAGAGATAAAATTTCTAGACATCACTGAGTGACTGCTTCTTGGAGAAGCTAATCCTGGAACACACAAGGGGAGAGGCCATTCTTGATTTAATCCTAAGTGGCACACAGGATCTGGTCCAAGAGGTGAATATAGCTGAACCGTCGGTAATAGCAACTATAATGTAATTAAATTTAACATCCTTGTAGGGGGGGAAATACCAAAGAAGCCCACCACAGTAGCATTTAAATTCAAAAAGGGGAACTACACAAAAATGAGGAGGCGAGTTAAACAAAAATTAAAAGGAACAGTCACAAGAGTGAAATGCCTGCAAGCTGCATGGAAACTTTCTAAAAGCACCATAATAGAGGCCCAAACTATATGTAGACCCCAAATTGAAAAAAACAACAACACAGTAAGAGGACCAAAAAAATGCTACCATGACTAAACAACAGAGTAAAAGAGGCAGTTAGAGACAAAAAGGCATCCTTTAAAAATTGGAAGTTAAATCCTACTGAGGAAAATAGAAAGGAACTCTGGCAAGTCAATTGTAAAAGCATAATTAGGTTGGCCAAAAAAAGAATTTGAAGAGCACCTAGCAAAAGACACAAAAACAAGCAGCATTTTTTAAACTATATCAAAAGCAGGAAGCCGACCAAACAATCAATGGGGCCACTGGATGATCAAGGTGCTAAAGGAGTACTCAAGGAAGATAAGGCCATTGCGGAGAAGCTAAATAAATTATTTGTGTTGGTCTTCACTGCACAGGAGCAGCAGATTTCCACACCAGAGTCATTCTTTTTAGGTGACAAATCTGAACTGTCCAAGATTGAGGTATCAATAGAGAAGGTTTTGGAACAAACTGATAAACTAAAACAGTAATAAGTCACCAGGACCAGATAGGATTCACCCAAGAGCTCTGAAGGAACTCACAGGGAAGAAAGGTAAGCAGCAGGATACGGACCCTGGACTTCAGGAAAGCAGACTTCGACTCCCTCAGGGAACGGATGGGTAGGATCCCCTGGGGGACTAACATGAAGGGGAAAGGAGTCCAGGAGAGCTGGCTGTATTTCAAGGAATCCCTGTTGAGGTTATAGGGACAAACCATCCTGATGAGTCAAAAGAATAGTAAATATGGCAGGCAACCAGCTTGGCTTAACGGTGAAATCCTAGCAGATCTTAAACATAAAAAAGAAGCTCACAAGAAGTGGAAGGTTGGACATATGACCAGAGAAGAGTATAAAAATATTGCTCGGGCATGTAGGAATGAAATCAGGAGGGCCAAATCGCACCTGGAGCTGCAGCTAGCAAGAGATGTCAAGAGTCACAAGAAGGGTTTCTTCAGGTTGTTGGCAACAAGAAGAAAGCCAAGGAAAGTGTGGGCCCCTTACTGAATGAGGGAGGCAACCTAGTGACAGAGGATGTGGAAAAAGCTAATGTACTCAATGCTTTTTTTGCCTCTGTCTTCACTAACAAGGACAGCTCCCAGACTGCTGCGCTGGGCATCACAACATGGGGAGTAGATGGCCAGCCCTCTGTGGAGAAAGAGGTGGTTAGGGACTATTTAGAAAAGCTGGACATGCACAAGTCCATGGGGCTGGACGAGTTGCATCCGAGAGTGCTAAAGGAATTGGCAGCTGTGATTGCAGAGTCATTGGCCATTATCTTTGAAAACTCGTGGCGAATGGGGGAAGTCCCAGATGACTGGAAAAAGGCTAATGTAGTGCCAATCTTTAAAAAAGGGAAGGAGGAGGATCCTGGGAACTACAGGCCAGTCAGCCTCACCTCAGTCCCCAGAAAAATCACGGAGCAGGTCCTCAAGGAATCAATCCTGAAGCACTTACATGAGAGGAAAGTGATCAGGAACAGTCAGCATGGATTCACCAGGGGAAGATCATGCCTGACTAATCTAATCGCCTTCTATGATGAGATTACTGGTTCTGTGGATGAAGGGAAAGCAGTGGATGTATTGTTTCTTGACTTTAGCAAAGCTTTTGACAGTCTCCCCCAGTATTCTTGTCAGCAAGTTAAAGAAGTATGGGCTGGATGAATGCACTATAAGGTGGGTAGAAAGTTGGCTAGATTGTCAGGCTCAACGGGTAGTGATCAATGGCTCCATGTCTAGTTGGCAGCCGGTGTCAAGAGGAGTGACCCAGGGGTCGGTCCTGGGACCGGTTTTGTTCAATATCTTCATAAATGATCTGGAGGATGGTGTGGATTGCACTCTCAGCAAATTTGCGGATGATACTAAACTGGGAGGAGTGGTAGATACGCTGGAGGGCAGGGATAGGATACAGAGGGACCTAGACAAATTGGAGGGTTGGGCCAAAAGAAATCTGATGAGGTTCAATAAGGATAAGTGCAGGGTCCTGCACTTAGGACGGAAGAACCCAATGCACAGCTACAGACTAGGGACCGAATGGCTAGGCAGCAGTTCTGCGGAAAAGGACCTAGGGGTGACAGTGGACGAGAAGCTGGATATGAGTCAGCAGTGTGCCCTTGTTGCCAAGAAGGCCAATGGCATTTTGGGATGTATAAGTAGGGGCATAGCGAGCAGATCGAGGGACGTGATCGTTCCCCTCTATTCGACATTGGTGAGGCCTCATCTGGAGTACTGTGTCCAGTTTTGGGCCCCACACTACAAGAAGGATGTGGATAAATTGGAAAGAGTCCAGCGAAGGGCAACAAAAATGATTAGGGGTCTGGAACACATGACTTATGAGGAGAGGCTGAGGGAACTGGGATTGTTTAGCCTGCACAAGAGAAGAATGAGGGGGGATTTGATAGCTGCTTTCAACTACCTGAGAGGTGGTTCCAGAGAGGATGGTTCTAGACTATTCTCAGTGGTAGAAGAGGACAGGACAAGGAGTAATGGTCTCAAGTTGCAGTGGGGGAGGTTTAGGTTAGATATTAGGAAAAACTTTTTCACTAGGAGGGTGATGAAACACTGGAATGCGTTACCTGGGAGGTGGTAGAATCTCCTTCCTTAGAAATTTTTAAGGTCAGGCTTGACAAAGCCCTGGCTGGGATGATTTAATTGGGGATTGGTCCTGCTTTGAGCAGGGGGTTGGACTAGATGACCTCCTGAGGTCCCTTCCAACCCTGATATTCTATGATTCTATGATTCTATGATTCAAATGTGAAATTGAAGAACTACAAACTGTGGCATGTAACCTATTGCTTAAATGAGCCTCTATACCAGATGACTGGAGGATAGATAATGTGACACCTGTTTTTAAAAAGCCTCCAGAGGCGATCCTGGCAATTACAGGCTGATAAGCCTAACTTCAGTACTAGGCAAATTGGTTGAAACTATAGTAAAGAGCAGAATTATCAGACAGATAGATGAGCATGATATGTTGGGGAAGAATCAACACGGCTTTTGTAAACAGAAATCATGCCTCACTAATCTATTAGAATTCTTTGAGGGGATCAACAAACATGGACAAGGGTGATACAGTGGATATAATGTACGTGGACTTTCAGAAAGCCTTTGACAAGGCCCCTTACCAAAGACTCTTAAGCAATGTAGGCAATGATGGGCTAAAAGGGAAGGTCTTCTCATGCATCAGTAACTGGTTAAAAGATAGGAAACAAAGGGTAGGAATAAATGGTCAGTTTTCACCGTGGAGAGAGGTAAATAGCGTAGTCCCCTAAGGAACTGTACTGGGACCAGTACTATTCAATATATTCATAAATGATCTCAAAAAAGGGGTTAAACGGTGAGATGGCAAAGTTTGCAGATAATACAAAATTACTTAAGATAGTTAAGTCCAAAGCAGACTGTGAAGAGTTACAAGGAGATTTCACAAAACTGGGTCACTGGGCAACAAAATGGCAGGTGAAATTCAGGGTTGATAAATGCAAAGTAATGCACACTGGAAAACATAATCTCAACTATACATACAAAATGATGGGGTCTAAATGAGCTGTTAACACTCAAGAAAGAGATCTTGGAGTCACCGTGGGTAGTTCTCTGAAAACATCTGCTCAATGTGCAGCAGCAGCTATAAAAGCTAACAGAATGGTCTGAACCATTAGGAAAAGGATAGATAATAAGACAAAAAATATCATAACGCCACTATATAAATTAGGGCTGTCAAGTGATTAAAAAATTAATCATGATTAATTGCACAATTAATTGCACTGTTAAACAATAATAGAATACCATTTATTTAAATATTTTGGGGGATGTTCTCTACATTTTCAAATATATTGATTTCAGTTACAACACAGAATACAAGTGTATAGGGCTCACTTTATATTTATTTTTGATTACAAATATTTGCACTGTAAAAAAGAAACAAAAGTGTATAGTATTTTTCAATTCACCTAATACAAGCACTGTAGTGCAATCTCCTTATCATGAAAGTTGAACTTACATATATAGAATTATGTAAAAAAAAACTGCACTCAAAAATAAAACCATGTAAAACTTTAGAGCCTACAAGTCCACTCAGTCCTTCTTCTTGTTCAGCCAATCGCTCAGACAAACAAGTTTGTTTGCATTTATGGGAAATAATGCTGCCTGCTTGGCATTTACAATGTCACCTGAAAGTGAGAATGGGCGTTCGCATTGCACTGTTGTAGCCAGCGTCGCAAGATATTTACATGCCAGATGAGCTAAAGTTCATATGTCCCTTCGTGCTTCAAACACCATTCTAGGGGACATGCATCCATACTGATGACAGGTTCTGCTTGATAACAATCCAAAGCAGTGCAGACCAATGCATGTTCATTTTCATTATCTGAGTCAGATGTCACCAGCAGAAGGTTGATTTTCTTTTTTGGTGGTTCAGATTCTGTAGTTTCCTTGTGGGAGTGTTGCTCTTTTAAGACTTCTGAAAGCATGTCCCACACCTGTAGCTATCTTTAGAAATCTCACATTGGTACCTTCTTTGCATTTCATCCAATCTACAGTGAAAGTGTTCTTAAATCGAACAACATGTGCTGGGTAATCATCCGAGAATGCCATAATACGAAACATATGGCAGAATGCGGGTAACACAGAGCAGGAGACATACAATTCTCCCCCAAGGAGTTCTTTCACAAATTTCATTAACGCATGATTTTTTTAATGAGCATCATCAGTATGGAAGCATGTCCTCTGGAATCGTGGCCGAAGCATGAAGGGATATACAAATGTTTAGCATATCGGGCACATACCTTGCAATGCCAGCTACAACAGTGCCATGTGAATGCCTGTTCTCACTTTCAGGTGAAATTGTAAATAAGAAGCAGGCAGCATTATCTCCCGTGAATGTAAACAAACTTGTTTTTCTTAGTGATTGGCTGAACAAAAAGTAGGACTGAGTGGACTTGTAGTTGCTAAAGTTTTACATTGTTTTGTTTTTGAGTGCAGTTATGTAACAAAAAAAATCTACATTTGTAAGTTGCACTTTCACAATAAAGAGATTGCACTACAGTACTTGTATGAGGTGAATTGAAAAATACTATTGCTTTTGTTTATCATTTTTACAGTGCAAATATTTGTAATAAAAATAATAATATAAAGTGAGCACTGTACGCTTTGTATTCTGTGTTGTAATTGAAATCAATATATTTGAAAATGTAGAAAAACATCCACAGATATTTAATAAATTTCAACTGGAATTCTATTGTTTAACAGTGCAAACAATTAAAACTGTGATTAACTGCAATAAATTTTTTAATTGCAATTAATTTTTTTGAGTTAATCATGTGAGTTAACTGCAATTAATCAACAGCCCTAATATAAATCTATGATACTCCCTCATCTTGAATACTGTGTGCAGATCTAGTCACCTCATCTCAAAAAAGATGTATTAAAATTGGAAAAGGTACAGAGAAGGGCAACAGAAATGATTAGGGGTATGGAACAGCTTCCATATGAAGAGAAATTAAAAAGACTGGGACTGTTCAGTTTAAAAAAGAGATGCCTAAGGGGGGGATATGATAGAGATCCATAAAATCATGACTGGTGTGGAGAAACTGAATAAGGAAGTGAAATTTACCCTTTCACACAACACAAAAACCATGGGTGACCCAATGAAATTAATAGGCAGCAGGTTTAAAATAAACAAAAGAAGTACTGCTTCCCACAACGCATAGTCAACCTGTGGAACTCATTGCCAGGGGATTTTGTGAAGACCAAAAGTATATCTGGGTTTAGAAAACAATTAGATAAATTCATGGAAGATAGGGCCATCAATGACTATTAGCCAAGATGGTCAGAGACCCAACCTCATGCTCTGGGTGTTTCTAAGCCTCTTGCTGGCAGAAGTTGGGACTGGACGGCGGGGGATGGATCACTCAGTAATTGCCCTGTTCTGTTCATTCCCTCTGAAGCATCTGACACCAGCCACTGTTGGAAGACAGGCTACTGAGCTATATGAAGCATTGGTCTGAATCTGTATGGCCATTCTTATGGGAGAAGTAAGTTGCTGCAGCCCATGGAAGGGCGTATCTTACTGCCATCTTCACACCTGGCCAGCTGTTCTGGCCAAACACAGGGGCGTGGGGAGAGCAAAGGATCTATCCATTCCCCTCCTTTCTCTCTCTACCCCCTTCTTCACCCTCTGACTCCCTGTGGAAACCGGGGGAAGAGCTCTCCAACACTCAGACCCAAGATCCAAGGAGGGGAGTAAAGCAGGACAGAATCTAGTCCAGGGGTTCTCAAGACAAATTATTTCGTGGCCTCGGAGTGCAGCCACCGACTTTTGCTGGTGGCTGCACTCACACTTTTCCCCTAAAATACTTAATTAGCTTTAGGAAAAACAAAGAAATACGCACATAGACACGTCCAAATCGTTGTAATTTATTTATTGCTAGCTAGTAAGTCTCCTGTGAAAAGTGATATTAACAAACACACAGATATCACCTTTCATTACAGACTTACTCAGCCCCAGGCAAGTCTGGAGACTAATTAAGCCCTGGATGGGGGGAGGGGGAGGCAGCAGGGGCCAGGGACGATGGGGGTGGGTGGGTGGCTGCGAGAGGCAGCAGGGGGCTGCAGCCTGAAACCCCGTGACTAGGGGACAGAGTCCGATGCCATGTGGCCAGAGCGCGGGGCTGGAGCCTGATGCCACGCAGCCAGAGCCTGCCACCCCGCCATGCCCAGGCTGAAGCCCAAAATCTGAGCTCCACCGCTCCTGGGAAGGTGGGGAACTCACCAGCTGCCTGCTTCTCCAGCATTGTGCCCAAGTGTCTCCAGAGAGGGGCAGGCACCAACCCCTACTGGAAGCCCCAACACCAAGGCTGTGCATCCAGGAGCACCAGGGAGGGGGAGGGGCTGGTCTCCCCCGCACCCCCATCAAAGCCCAGGAGGCTGCAAGAAAAGCCCCCGGTGGCCACATTTGAGAAATGCTGATTCTAGTCTAGCATGTCTCTGTGTATTACCATATGTTACAAAACCACTGGATTATCTTCTATATAATCCCATAGGACTAGACTGTGCATTTTAGGGACATCCCGGGTTGCACTGGGAGAAGAAAAAACATTTCTTTTTCTTGGTGCAGCCTATTCTCACTGGGTACCTAGCCAGCTGTGTTGATGGGCACATGGGGGTAAAGGACCGCAGACATGGCTGTGCTTATGACTCACTTTTCTTTGCCTACTCCTCACGTATTTGGTCTGGTGGGTGAGCATCTGGTCCCTGCACTCCCACATGCTAAAACTGGGGTACCTGAAAACCTAACATGGCCACACTTACTCTCTGCCATTCCCCTGCATGGCCGAGTTAGGGCTAGTGACAACCGAGCCCTGTAATTTCAAAGAAAATCAGCAAGACTGGGTATAAATCTTTCTCCTGTCATGTTAGCTGAAAGTAGTTTTCACCGGACAGAGTGGTGCAGGGGATTGAATGCAATGATAGGTTTCAGATATTTTGTATCACCTTAAATTAATATACAATATTTTCCTCAAAAACCACAAATATGGAGGAGAGGGAAGAAAAAACAGCTTTTCCACACATCTCGATTGGCAATCAGCGCTTAGAAATATAACTGCAGTGCACAGGCCAAAACTTTCAAGTGTCTCCTCAGATCTCAGACACTTAGCAAGGCTGGCAAACGACAGCTGATACCAGAAAGACAAGTGTTGTAATTGCCGTTTAAAGGAGACATAGGCGCTGACTCCATGGGTGCTCAGGGGCTCAAGCATCCATGGAGAAAAAATAGGGGGTGCTCAGCACCCATGGACCTGCCCGGGGCAGCTGCAGGGGCAGCCCTAGGGCTGGCTGCCAATCAGCTGCTGAGCCACTTGCTCCTCTCTGCCCCCACCCCCACTCACTGCCCTTAAGGCAGGAGGGGGCAGAAAGGAGTGAGCGGCAGGCAGGAGGTACTCAGGAGAGGGGATTTCGGGGGAGGGGTAGAGCGGGCCTCGGGGGGGGCGGAGTGGGGGTGGAGTTTCGGGGAGGGGGTGGAGTTGGTGTGGGGCACCCACCAGCAAAACCAAAAGTCAGCGCTTATGAAATGAAATATAATGATGTCCTCTCAACCTAGGGAAGGCAATATAGAAAATCAAGTTTACTGACCTGATACCTGTAGTTCCAATGCAGCTTCTTGATATGAGAACTCTGATCGAAAGAAACATGCGTACAGCCCTGAATTAGAGAGTCTGATATTGCCTATCCTCAAGGCAACTCTTCCATCAGCCAGGCCCTCTTTCAGAAACTCTGTCCTTCCCCGATATTCTGACATCTGCTCCGGATACTGATCCTTCCCTTCACGGTACAGGTGCACAACTGAAGAAAACTGAGCCCGGTACCATCTCACCTCCATGTTCTCAGCACTCATCCTGGGTGACAAGCGGCAGGCTAATCTGACTTCATCACCTACAGAAGCAGTGATAGGGCGATCGGGTCCAATCACTGAAAAGTGTACTGTTAAATGGAACAGGACATAAAAACAATTGAATTCGAGAAGAACTGAGACTAGGATTTTAATTTCCTGGTCAGGCACAACATATAGAAAATATATCCCTTACAGCTTTACAATGCATTGTGGTTGTTCATGGGTCCTGACTTCATATGTGAATTTTAATACACTTCCCTGCTAGTATTTGATGGGAAATTATTCAAATGGAGAATTAAAATTGGAATTTATTACAAAAATGGATGAAAAATATTGCAGATCAAATTTTGCCTTCAGATGCACAACCCTCGGTGACTTGAATGAGCATTGTATAGTTTGTAGGTAGTATGGCCCAGTGAATGGGGTACTAGCTATAGACTCTGGCATGCAGGGTTCTAGCTCTCTTTCTACCGCTAGGTTTTGTGGCAACTTGGGCAATACGCTTCCCCTCTCTATGCCTCAGTTCCTTCATTTGTAAGAATGACCTTCTTTTGTATGGGTTTTGAGATATGCAGATGAAAAGAGCTAAGCGGTATTTATCTGGGTGCAATATTTGGCCAGACTATTTTCCAATATAATTTTAAGACCCATATTTTCTAAAATAGCCTCGAACTCAACATTCTACACCCAAAATCTTAGGTCCACAATATTGGAGGTCCAAATCTATGTACATTAAAAAGCTAATATTTGCATATGCAAACAGTGTTTTTGTGAACAACCCTGATAGATAAGTTTCATTTTAAAAACTCCCTTCCCTGAAATAACATTTATACACTAATGGTCAAGATTTTGGCCAAATGGTGTCAAGTGATTTTATTGGTGCTTCAGTTTTTAGATGCCTTAATTGGCACTTCTTGAAAATCAGGGCCCTTCCATGACTTATAATAGGTTTCCATTATGCATCTGATTTCAACTCTCTTTCCCTTCCTTCCACCTTGTATGTATTAGAAGCTGGGCTGAATAATTATTGTTGTAGGTTAGGCTAAGTGGTTGTGGCTGCATTTTGGATGGCCATGGGAAACAGCTAGGCTCCCTCATAGCAGCTCCCCATTGGGCAGAGGAGTATGCAAGCCCATATACAAATTAAAAATATGTAGCTGGATGGCTTTGCTGAGTATTGTTGGACCAGAGAGGTGGGTCAGGAGTTGGGTGGGTGTCTTAGAAAAGCAGGAGACATGGCACACAGAGAGAAGCAGAAAGAAAGGCAGGCAGATGCAACCTGGAAGCACAGTGTGAGGCCATGGGTAGTGTGTGACTCCTCCATTTGGGGAGGTTGGGGGTGCCCGGACTGTGGCCCCGTCCCTGCTCAGCCTCTTCCCCTGGAAGCCCTGTCCACTCTTCACCTGTGGCCCCGCTCAGCCCCCATCCTGAGGCACCTGCGCCTCCGAGCCTCTTCGCCCCTGTCCCCCACCTGCCAGCCACTCACACACCTCTTCGACCCTTCCCCCAGCCCACATCTCTTCACTCCCTTCCCTGGCCGCTCACACACCTCTTTGCCCTCTTCCCCAGCTCCCCGCCCTCCCCCCGGCTCCCCGCCCTCCCGCCTCTTCACCCCCTCCCCCAGCCCCCCGCCCGCTGCTCACACCTCTTTGCCCCCTCCCTCGGCCTCCCGCCTCTTCGACCCCTTCCCTGGCCCCCCCGCCCGCTGCTCACACCACTTCACCCCCTCCTGCCTGCCACTCGTCCAAGATGCCTGGGAATAGACCTGCTCGAATAATGTGTAAAAAACCCTGTCACTGGATTCTTTTTAAAAATTTGTAACTGGGTTTTTGGGTTGGTTTTGTGGTTTCCAAAATGCTGACAACATTGTTGACATGAAGTGCCTGTTCCTCTTCACTTATTCCTGTTCCCCCCGCAACTTCCTAAGCTTCCAGGGGCTCCCCAGCTGCAGCCATCCTGACCCCATGAAGGTCGAGAAGGGGGGAAGAAAGGGTGTCCCACAAGAATGGAGAACCTCTGTCACTGTCTACCCCTTTAAGGCTACCGTCTTGCTGTAATGTGAGACCGAGGCCTGGTCTACACTGGGGTGGGGAATCGATCTAAGATACGCAACTTCAGCTACGAGAATAGTGTAGCTGAAGTCAACGTATCTTAGATCGATTTAGAATCACTTACTTCATGTCCTCGCGGCGCGGGATCGACGGCCGCTGCTCCCCCGCCGACTCCGCTTCCACCTCTTGCCGGGGCGGAGTTCCGGAGTCGACGGCAGAACGATCGGGGATTGATTTATCACGTCTAGTGTAGACACAATAAATCGATCCCCGATAGATCGACCACTACCCATCAGCGGGTAGTGTAGACATGGCCCAAGAGAGAAGCGGCAGGACATGCAAGCTCTGGGAGAAGGAATCTGAACCTGTCTGTGCCTGAGTTTTCAGTACATGAACAACCCGAAGAACATTTTTAATTAAAAAAAAATACTGAGACACATTTATGTTTAAAAATGTCATGAACATTCTTCCCGAAAATTGTTCCATTTCCAATCCTTCAAAAGAGAAACAACTTGGAAATTTCATATTTTTTTCCATGGAATTAATATTTTATTTCCAGGAGATGCCAGAAAGTATGTTCAAAAGTAGGAATTCTTACCTGAGTCCAACTTGTGAACAAGAAGAGAAATGAAGATTATGGTGTAACCAAGAAGGGAGGAGCTCCCTACTGAGCTCTTGGAGACGGAGAAAGGTCTCATTGTCATTTTGGTTGGTGCTGGGCAAAATAAAAAACAAAACAACCCCTTCCCCGAGGGAAATAAGTGAGTGTCAGCCAGTGAATTTGATGCAAGTATGGTGAATACTACATAAACACCCTGCATATTTTATTTGCTTTGAAGGTTGAAAACTGGGTGACCCATTAAAAAATATCTCCTGAGTAGCTTCCAAATATTTATCTTACCACCTGCACTCTGACCGGGATGTAAAATTGAAGATAATGAGATTGTGCTTCTCTTTATACTCCTGGGATTACTTAGTTTGTAAACTTTTTGAAGTAGAGGCCAACTGTATGTTCTGTATTTGTACAGCCCTTAGCACAACGGAGTCCAGGTACAGGACAGGGACCCATGGGCAGCGCATGAACCGCCTGTTTGGGGAGGCTGGCCCCCAGCCATGCCCCTTCTGCCCGAGGCCCCGCCCCTCCACTGCTGGAGCCCTGAGCTCACCATCGTGGCCAGAGAAGCCCTTCCCCAGCTGCCTCAAGTCCCGGGCCCCGGGCTGGCCCCGGTTGCCAGCTCCCCCATCCCAGCCCATCCCAGCGCCCCCAGCCCCAGAGTGCCGGGCAGGCAGTCCCAGTGCCCCAGCTCCGGAGCACTGAGCAGCCCCAGCACCAGGCGGCCTGAGCACCATCCCCAGCTGTCCCGAGTCCTGGGCTGCCAGCCCTAGCCCCAGCCCCAGCCACCACCCGCTTTGGGAAGAGGAATCCTGGGCTGGGGCCATGGGGGAAGAGCAAGAGGCAGGAGGGGGCCTCGGGGTGGAGCGTGGGCAGGGCAACACCTGACTGTTTGGGGAGGCTTAGTCTCCCCTGGGCTGCAATACCCACTGCCCATGCAGGGACCCCTAGACACTATGATAATACAAATTATGATTATCATTAATAAGAAGCCAGGATGAAAATCCTCCATATCTTTGCTCTGGAATTCAGTCTCTTAATTAATGGATGAAGTAATGAAAGGATGGATATAGCTCCATTACACATCTCAGTCCTCTGCTAGTGGGAGGCTATAGAAGCAGAACATCCATATTCCGAATATGGGAAAATATAGGTAAAAAGGGCATGAGAGAATTAATCTCCTACTCTGCACTAGACACACACTCTTAGAGAAAAAGCTGAGAAAGCAGCTTACTCCCCTCCATATGCTCCTATTTTTGAAAACCCTCTTGACACAGCACATGCAGGTAAAATATATCCTCTTACCACCAGTAATATACAAGAGGTAAACTATATAAAAATGTCATTACCTGCAGCTATAATATCCCATCAGTCCTCCTGCAGAACTCTACATTAATGACCTTGGAGAATTCTGCTTGAGAACTGAATGTTAGTGTCCTCATCATAATAACGAAAGAAAGTACCAGCCTCTGACATAAGCTAATATTTCTAACATCATTTAAAGTAACCCTATTTTTTGTGATCTCGCGAGCCCCCCCACATAGCCTTGCGACTCCCATTTGGGTCGTGACTCCCAGTTTGAGAAATGCTGGCCTAGACCATATATAAATGTTTTTGAGTCTACTACTGCATCTTAGGTTATGTAACTAGTCCTTTATCTCAAGCAGAGCTTGTGCTTTTAGATTCAAGTGCTTTGAAGTTCAGTCCCAAACAGGGGCATCATTACATATTGAATCCTGTTTATCCGCTTTGAAATAATCTACATGAAAAATGTCATTGATTTATTTAGCCTTGATGAAGATGTGAGGTTGGAAAATTACAGCATCTTCAAGACTCATTTCCTGACATGCAGATAAATAGAATCCCTTCTAGAAACTCACCATCAGACCTACACTTTGTGTCAATGTAATAAGAGGCAAAACTCCAGAGGAGGGATATTATTACAAAATCCCAAGGAAGAGAAGGTTTCAGGAAGGAGAGTATGATTTGTGGTGTCACAAGCAGTGGAGAAGGTGAAGACAGTGAGTAAAGAGTAGAAGCAAAGCGGATTAGAAAATGAGTTTTTCCCATGGAAAATTTTGATGGAAGCAAAAAAATATTTCATGTTCATTGATGCTTTCAGCTGAAACTTTCACTTTTTGTCAAAAAGATGAAAATGAGAAAACCGATTTTCCAGTTTTTTGGCAACTGAAAACCAAAAGGGTTTTGGCTCAAAATGCAAAATGAACAAACAAACAAACAAATAACCCAATCTTGATTTTTAATGTTGACTAATAACAAAAAAGAAAAGTACACATTTTTCCAGCTTTTAGGTGTTGAGTTTTCCAAGAATATTTTTGAGGAAAGCAGACACTTGCTGCGAAACTGGTGTTTTGTCCAAAAAAAAAAAAAAAAAAAAGACTAAATCCAGTGAAAAATTTTAAATGAAAAAATTTTGAGCACCTTTAGTAGATGCCCTGTGATATGACCAAGAAGAAATCCTCAGAAACTTTAGCAGAGAGAATTTAGTATAGTCAATAAAAGTCTTCAAATGTAGAAATCGGGGACGAAGATTAGAGAAAAGGAGAAGGGGCTAGAATATGAGACTGGTAAAAGAGAATGCATGATTAATCTTTTGTCAGCATATTGTGCTAATAAAACTTATGGTTTAGCCATCTCCAGGCAGCCTTGCATTTTGATATGGGATGGGCTTTTACCTTCAGACTTTTCATTAATAAAAGTCCTGTTTAGAATAGAATGTCTATTTACTATTTGCTGAAAAAACTCATCCATTTTTAATCACAACACTATACACAGGATCAGCCTGAAGGTTGGTCTTCTTTTGGGGGTGGCAGAAGCTATGTTAATGAGAGAATTCTGTGGCACATCCCTAAACTTGACTACTTTTTTATGAACCGTGGTGAAAAACCACAGGACCCCTCTCTTCACCCCTCTGCTGCAGAAGTTATGCCTGGCTGTTTGTTCTGGTGTCTCTGTGGAGTTGCCAACTTTCAGAGAAGTTTTGTAAGGAACAATTCTGCAACAAAGGTAAAGAGCTTGAGGAAAAATAGGTCCCCAATTGCTGGAGGTCTCATTGTACAGGGAGTTTTAGTTTTGCATAGTGCTAAACAACCATTGGCTAAAAGAAAAGGAGTACTTGTGGCACTTTAGAGACTAACCAATTTATTTGAGCATAAGCTTTCGTGAGCTACAGCTCCAATGAAGTGATCTGTAGCTCACGAAAGCTCATGCTCAGATAAATTTGTTAGTCTCTAAGGTGCCACAAGTACTCCTTTTCTTTTTGCGAATACAGACTAACACAGCTGCTACTCTGAAACCAACCATTAGCTAGTTGATCTGCACAACACTTCTGAGTGGTAGAGAAGAAATATCAGTTTTACAGATGCCAAGAGTTGATGCTAAAGCCAGGACTGGATTGCAGGAGTTTCTTGTTGTACTCACTACACTGTTTTATCCACACCGCCTCCCATGTGATTGAGCTCTTTGGGGAACTGTGTCCTGGGATCTTGGGTTTACTTAGTCCTTACTCCATAAACATTCTCTCATTGATGTCAATGGAAGTCTGGTGTACAGGAATTGCTGTACTTTATCAGAGCAGCCGTTCATCCAGTCTCCTGTCTCTGAGCTGACAGTACCAGCTGCTTTGGAGGAAAAGGCAAGAAACCTTAAACAATAGTGGACAATTCTGAAATAACTTGCCAATAGGGCACATTTCTTCCTAACCTCAGCACTTAAGTCCAGATCTTCACAGGCATTTAGGTGCCAAACTCCCTCTGAAATTAGGATCTGGGCCTTAGTGAGTGACTGAAATATGTCTTACATATAAGAACTTAAGAGAGGCCGGAAGAAGATAAGAGCAGCCATGCTGGGGCAGACCAAAGGTCTATCTAGCCCAGTATCCTGTCTTCCAAAAGTGACCATTGCCAGGTGCCTAGAGGAAATGAACAGAACAGGGCAATTGTTGAGTGATCTATTCACTGTTGTCCAATCCCAGCTTCTGGCAGTCAGAGGTTGTGTCTCTGACCATCCTGGCTAATAGCCATTGATGGACCTATCCTCCATGAACTGATCTAATTCTTTTTTGAACCTAGTTATACTTTGGGCCATGAAACAGAAAGTCCTGTGTAATTTTTACCCTTGCTCTAACTCTAATTGTTTTTGTTATCCATAGCAATAACTAATTCTCCTTTGACTCCAATAAACCTCTGGCCTCAGGTAATGACTGTGCCAGTTGGTTTCAAAGGTTAACTATTTGTTTGTGAAAAAGGTTTTCCTTTTATCTGTTTTTAAAATAGCTGCCCTTACATTTCATTAGTTGCTCTATTTCTCCTTCTATTATATGAGAAAGAGGAAACAGAAACTCCCAATTTGGTTCCGTATACCTGTATGCTACTAATGTTTGCAGAATGTATTTGGAAACCTCCATGAGGTCTCTGTTTTTCTTCTGCCTTCCCCATTTTTGTTAACTTACCATATATGGTCCCTGCCCTTTGAACAATCCTCCACCTTTCTTCAAGAGTTTCTAGTTTACAAGTGTAAGCAGAGTCAGAATGAACTCTACCCTGACATCTGGTGGTGAGCTATGGAAAAGGACTTCAGGGGCTGATCTCATTTGCATGAGCACACCCACCCTGCCTAACACGATGGACTGCCTGCCCAAATGGTCACTTTGGCTGCTGTGGGATCCCCAGTCTCTTTGTTATTGGGGCAGGAGTAATAAAAGGGTTGTTATTCTGGTTATGTGAATCAAAGACAGTAGAACTGTACTTGGCATTTTATGATGGAGGGACTCGCCCTCAACTAAGCAGCACTTGCTAGGCAAGGGACATGGGTTCCAAAACCAGTGACTTGGGTGAGGTTAGGGGTAGGCATATGTACCTGGTAGTGTGGGCTTATTCTGAGGGACCTAAATGCTGCTTTGACTTCTTTTCTTTCCTTTCCTTTCCTTTCCATTGTGTAATAACAGACCTAATTTTGACTCTATTAGGAGTCTCGTTACATGCTGCAGAGCTGAAATCACTGATACCTAGGTCTAAGTATTGGACCTACTTTGGGCTAGTGGTGCACCAGCACTGAGGCTCCCCTACTACCAGCTAAACTCGCTGAGAGCTGTGGTTAAGTAGGGGCTGTGGGGGACTGAAGACAAGTTGGTGAGCTGTAGGGGCTGGGGGGGACTGAAGACAAGTTGGTGAGCTGTAGGGGCTGGGGGGGACTGAAGACAAGTTGGTGAGTTGTAGGGGCTGGGGGGACTGAAGACAAGTTGGTGAGCTGTAGGAGCTGGGGGGGACTGAAGACAAGTTGGTGAGCTGCTAGTAGGATGGCGAGCAGAGTGGATAGCAGGGCGGCTGGTGGTGAAGGTTGCAGTAGAACCCCATGGAGAGGTATGGCACTCGGCCGTCAACCTGATGCCCCCCTGCCTATCTCCCTCCACCTTCACCTGGGCTGGGAGGTAAACTCTGCAGATGACCTTCTGAACTCTGGGGCTGCCCTGACCAAGGTCAGAAACTGTGGGTGGGGTGACAGTTGGGTTGCTGGACTTAAGACCCTGAGGGGAAAAGGACACTGCCAAACTTACTTGGGGGTGAGTCATTTGCTCATGGTTTGTGTTAGGAATCTTGTTGGTGGTGTTTCCCCAACATAATGCCACATTGTTTCCCTCCTTTAGCATCCTTTCCCTCCTTTTGCTACACTCAGACTCCGTGCTTGCGAGAGGGGAAGTATTGCCTCTTAGAGGCGCCCAGGGGGGTGGTATGTAATTGTCCCAGGCCACTGGGTGGGGGCTCGAGCTGGTTTTGCATTGTGTTATTGGAACGGAACCCCTAGATACTGAACCCGGCTCTCGTTGCTGCCAGCTCTGACGGGCAGAACGGTTACACAAGGAATTCTGTGTATTATTTGGCCCCATTGAAACGCAGCCTATTTGCTCTGCACAATTATGAAGTGATGTAATATTAGCTACAGCTGAATTAATACAGATAAATTTCACATAGATGATTCTCCCCAGCAGAAAAATGAGACAGATGGTTGCCTTCTAAATACAATTTTATTTTAGCCTTGTAATGCTTGGCGGCAAGGGGAAAAAGAACATTTTCATAATTACAATGATCATCAGGCAAGCAGAGAACCTTGAAACAGCTGCCTTGGAAATACTGTTTATTATTGTGTTTTTCTTTAAGGTAGTGTCTTTATCTCTGTAATATAACCAGCACATGATAAGGATCATGGCTGCTGATCTACTTTCACTTCTGAAGTTACTGAGCGCAGTGAAAGAACATTTCAGATCAATGCAAAACAGGTCAGGTAAAGGGGTAAAAATACAATCAGGCTAATGTAAAACTCCGATTTTATATGTAGAGGTAAAGATGCACCCTGCTCAACTGACATATTCACTAAAAATATTATGTTAACGCTAATGCCTTGAAGTGGATGTTAAGGTGGCTGAGAACACTGTGGGGAGCTTGAAAATACGCAGAAGTATTTTTGCTCCAGGATTCATCAGGTAGGTGATCTTTGTTCATCTGAATACCATCTAGTCTGCTTTTTTCTAGGTTTCCCTACTCACTCTGTGGCATTTATTCTTTCGATGAATTGTTAATGTCAAATAGACACTGGTCCTAGGACATCCACAGATAAACTGTGTGTCCCTGTCTATTGGCCTAAACCACACTATCAGAGGCTCATTCACCTGCACATCCACCAATGTGATATATGCCATCATGTGCCAGCAATGCCCCTCTGCCATGTACATTGGTCAAACTGGACAGTCTCTACGTAAAAGAATAAATGGACACAAATCAGATGTCAAGAATTATAACATTCATAAACCAGTCGGAGAACACTTCAATCTCTCTGGTCACGCAATCACAGACATGAAGGTCGCTATCTTAAAACAAAAAAACTTCAAATCCAGACTCCAGCGAGAAACTGCTGAATTGGAATTCATTTGCAAATTGGTTACTATTAATTTAGGCTTAAATAGAGACTGGGAGTGGCTAAGTCATTATGCAAGGTAGCCTATTTCCCCTTGTTTTTTCCTGCCCCCCACCTCCCCAGACAGTCTGGTTAAACTTGGATTTATGCTGGAAATGGCCCACCTTGATTATCATGCACATTGTAAGGAGCGTGGTCAGTTTGGATGAGCTATTGCCAGCAGAAGAGTGAGTTTGGGGGGGGGGGGGTGAGAAAACCTGGATTTGTGCTGGAAATGGCCCACCTTGATTTTCATACACATTGTGAGGAGAGTGGTCACTTTGGATAAGCTACTATCAGCAGGAGAGTGAGTTTGTGTGTGTGGTTTTTGGAAGGGGGTGGGGGCCTGAGAAAACCTGGATTTGTGCTGGAAATGGCCCACCTTGATTATCATACACATTTTAAAGAGAGTGGTCACTTTGGATGGGCTATTACCAGCAGGAGAGTGAGTTTGTGTGGGAGGAGGCGGAGGGTGAGAAAACCTGGATTTGTGCTGGAAATGGCCCAACTTGATGATCACTTTAGATAAGCTATTACCAGCAGGAGAGTGGGGTGGGAGGAGGTATTGTTTCATGGTCTCTGTGTATATATAATGTCTTCTGCAGTTTCCACAGTATGCATCTGATGAAGTGAGCTGTAGCTCACGAAAGCTCATGCTCAAATAAATTGGTTAGTCTCTAAGGTGCCACAAGTACTCCTTTTCTTTTTGTGAATACAGACTAACACGGCTGTTACTCTGAAACCTTTATTTATCAAGTGATTTTGATAATATTTGAAACGAGTCAGTTTTTTCTTTTTTAGAGGCCCCTCATATTGCAAGGCCCTAAGATGTAGCTTAGTTATCTTACGCGTTAATCCGGCACTGCTGCCACCGCCAGAGCAAGTGTCCGACGCGCAGCATCCCGCAGCGCAGCCAGGGCACGGACAGGAGGCCTGGGACATGTGGGGCACAGACTGTGAACTGCCCTGACATTCCAGAGATGGTTGTTTCTGGTTGCCCCGTGCCACAGAGCAGGGTGACGTGTGTTTTCTTTTAACCTTTCCCATTTTTTCCATTTTTTTCTTTCATTGATTGCTGTTTGTATTTGTATTTGCTTTGAACTGTATGTAATGATTTAAATTGTATTTGCTTTGAACTGTATGTAATGATCAGTGGGTCAGGGAAGTGTCCAGTGCAGAGAGAGCACCCCAGAGTGGGGACACCCTAGCCCCTGCCCTAAGTGACCACGACAAGGTTGGGGGTCGAGCCCCCCAGGAATCCTGGACCCAGCCTTGTCAGGGTTACTGGGACTAGAGTGGAAGGGGAGCCTTCAAGGTCAGGCAGGCCTCTGGGTAGAGAGAGTGGGAGCGAGGACTGAGATCCTTTCGCTAGCCCATTCCACCAGGGCGGTGTATAAGCCAGGAAAGTTCTTCCCCGCAATAGCTGGACCATTCCCCGCTTACATGTGGGCAAAGTTATTTCTTTTCCCTTGTGTCTGGGCATTAGGATATAACCTCTAATGACAGGGTCACATGCTACTGTGCTCATTAACACAGGACATATGTGATATCTCTGCTGGAGCAAACATGTCCCTGTTACTTACAACTGGGGAGATTTACCCATCTCTGTGGAATTCAGGCTTGTCCCCAGAGCAAGTCATGGGGTCAGATTAGTAAATGAATAATCATCTCCAAAACAAACACATTCTCCTCTCTGCTGTGTCCTGTCTCTGCTAGGTCTTAGTCATGGCAAAACACACTGACTCCCTTGAAAAAAGCTGTGTGTGGTGTTAGTTACATTTTCTCTGTATGGGCTACAAATTGTTCCTTTGCCTTTTCTTCTTGTTGTTTTGAAAATTTAAAACCAAAATCTGTTTTTCTGAGGCTTTACTGGAGTCTGGAAACGGGCGTGGATGTGAACTGTCGACTCAGAAAAGTCATAAAACTTACCGCAAAAAAAATCACCCTTCGGTTCAAGGGTCGCCCTGTACAGAAATCTTCATGTTCCGGGTGAAGACGAGAGAAAATACTGACTGAATCAGCCCACAGCAAGTAGGACACAACTTGTTCCCAAGTCACAAGATGCCTCTGATATTAAGCCAGGAAGTGATTGTAAGTCTGGCAGTCCCTGGGAGGGGGATGTTAGACTGTTCAACATCTAACGCAGCACAGCCAGGCCGGACTGACGCACACGACTGTCACTGACACAGCTATATGGGTTTAATCCCCCCCCGTTGGTTACTTCAGTGCAAATCTGTATGTGTCTGAGACACTCTTGTTTCAGATGAAGAGCAGCCTAAATTTGTTTCTTTTCATATTCATCACCCACTTACTTTATCCTCCCCCCGCCTTTTCTTTCCATTCCCTTTTTATTTCTCTACCCCCTTCCCCTCGCATTCCTTCTCCTCCTCACCCCATGTAGGTCAAACTTCCTTATTTTCTTATCTTTCCTCTATTCCTTCTCCCACCCCCTCCTTTTTCTGCACCTTCTGCTCCTGTGCTGGAGAGCAGCTGACAGCAGATCAGGCAGGGACCTTTCATTATCAGCAAAATCACTTCTGATTTGGAGCAGAAGGCAGAGAGAACGGAAGCCCAGCTCCGCGCTGCCATGGCTTCAGGGGCTTCTGAACAGGGACTCCAAGAGGAAACCAAATGTCCCATCTGCAGAAACTATTTCACGGAGCCGGTGAGCGTAGACTGTGGGCACAACTTCTGCCGGGACTGCATCTCTCAGCACTGTGACACATGGACAAAAGGGGACTATGACCCTTTGTGCTGTCCCATGTGCAGAGCTCGGATCCAGAAGGAGAATCTCCGGCCCAACTGGGACCTGGCAAGATTAACAGAAATACTTAAAGAATGGAATCTGTGCAAGAAACACCAGGAGAAACTCAACCTGTTCTGCGAAGAGGACGGGGAAGCCGTGTGTGTGGTTTGCGAGAAATCCCCCGAGCACAGATCTCACACGGTGCTGCTCATGAAGGAGGCTGCCCAGAAATATCAGGTAGGAAACACTCTGGATCTGGGTTCATTTGGCCCTTTCCTTTGCAGTCTAATCTGAACTTTGCTCCCAGGGCATCTAGAGTCTTTTTGGAGTCATTCTAGAAGCCACAGAGTCCCCTAATTTCCTACATTTTTTTCCCTAGTCTCTAGCTCCATCCAAATCTCTCCCCTGCAGGTTCCTCCCTCTGGGCAGGTGCTGTCCCAGCCTGCCAACCCTGCACTATTCATTAGGGAGAGATGGTCACCTGAGCTCACAGTGAGGCAGTTTCTGCTGCCAGGCCGGGAATGGAAGGGGAATGAGCTGCTCCCAACACATCCCTGACAGCCCAGGCACTTCACGCAGGGCATTCACCTTCATGATGAACACAGCAGTCCTCCCTCTGCTGCATGGAGCACATATGGGGCTGGATTAAGGCACAGGCATAAGGACCCTAGCTCCTGGAGTCACCCGCTTGCATCACACCTTCAATTTCCAGTCTCAACAGAACCACCAAAAAGTAAGCTCCTGGTCTTCATTCTTGCAAAGAATAGCTTGGAAATGAGAACCAAGCATAAGTGATATGGCAAGGCCTGCCTGAGTTTGCAGAGAGCCTGAGACAATAGCTCCAAGGGGCTAGAACTGATCCATCAATCCAAAGAGGGTGTTAACTCCAAGACCTACTGCTCTGGGGTCCCCATCAACCACACCCCAGCAGGGGGCTCCGGGTGTGTCATCAGGGGAAGAGCTAACTAGATCCAACCAATTCTCCCAAGCAGATAAACCCTGACTGCTGCGGGGAGCATTTGATGGGGCCCAGCTGCTCCCCTGACTCTGAGGACCTGCTGCCTTCCCTGCTGTTCCTGGGGGGTGTGGCACCTTTGTGGCTATTCCTGAGCGGGCAGAAGGGCCCCATGCTGCTGGATCTGGTTCACTAGAAGAAGGGGGTGCACCCAGCATTCCAAGTGCTGGAGCAGGGGGGTCATCTCTAATGCAAGGGCTGGGCCATGAGAGCAAGGGCAGAAAGATCCAGCATGCTGGTGAATGAAGCTCTCTAAGTTGTCTAGAATAGAGTCCTGGCTTACCTTACTGCAGTTTTCAGAGTAACAGCCATGTTAGTCTGTATTCGCAAAAAGAAAAGGAGTACTTGTGGCACCTTAGAGACTAACCAATTTATTTGAGCATAAGCTTTCATGAGCTACAGCTCACTTCATCGGATGCATACTGTGGAAAGTATAGAAGATCTTTTTATATACACACAAAGCATGAAAAAATACCTCCTCCCACCCCACTCTCCTGCTGGTAATAGCTTATCTAAAGTGATCACTCTCCTTACAATGTGTATGATAATCAAGTTGGGCCATTTCCAACACAAATCCAGGTTTTCTCACCCCCCCCTGCCCCCCACACAAACCCACTCTCCTGCTGGTAATAGCTTATCTAAAGTGATCACTCTCCTTACAATGTGTATGATAATCAAGGTGGGCCATTTCCAGCACAAATCCAGGGTTTAACAAGAACGTCTGGGGGGGGGGGGTAGGAAAAAACAAGGGGAAATAGGTTACCTTGCATAATGACTTAGCCACTCCCAGTCTCTATTCAAGCCTAAGTTAATTGTATCCAATTTGCAAATGAATTCCAATTCAACAGTTTCTCGCTGGAGTCTGGATTTGAAGTTTTTATGTTGTAATGTAGCAACTTTCAGTCTGTAATCGTGTGACCAGAGAGATTGAAGTGTTCTCCGACTGGTTTATGAATGTTATAATTCTTGACATCTGATTTGTGTCCATTTATTCTTTTACGTAGAGACTGTCCAGTTTGACCAATGTACATGGCAGAGGGGCATTGCTGGCACATGATGGCATATATCAGATTGGTGGATGTGCAGGTGAACGAGCCTCTGATGGTGTGGCTGATGTTATTAGGCCCTGTGATGGTGTCCCCTGAATAGATATGTGGGCACAGTTGGCAATGGGCTTTGTTGCAAGGATAGGTTCCTGGGTTAGTGTTTCTGTTGTATGGTATGTGGTTGGTGGTGAGTATTTGCTTCAGGTTGGGGGGCTGTCTGTAGGCAAGGACTGGCCTGTCTCCCAAGATTTGTGAGAGTGTTGGGTCATCCTTCAGGATAGGTTGTAGATCCTTAATAATGCGTTGGAGGGGTTTTAGTTGGGGGCTGAAGGTGACGGCTAGTGGCGTTCTGTTATTTTCTTTGTTAGGCCTGTCCTGTAGTAGGTGACTTCTGGGAACTCTTCTGGCTCTATCAATCTGTTTCTTCACTTCCGCAGGTGGGTATTGTAGTTGTAAGAATGCTTGATAGAGATCTTGTAGGTGTTTGTCTCTGTCCGAGGGGTTGGAGCAAATGCGGTTGTATCGCAGAGCTTGGCTGTAGACGATGGATTGTGTGGTGTGGTCAGGGTGAAAGCTGGAGGCATGTAGGTAGGAATAGCGGTCAGTAGGTTTCCGCTATAGGGTGGTGTTTACGTGACCATTGTTTATTAGCACTGTAGTGTCCAGGAAGTGGATCTCTTGTGTGGACTGGACCAAGCTGAGGTTGATGGTGGGATGGAAATTGTTGAAATCATGGTGGAATTCCTCAAGGGCTTCTTTTCCATGGGTCCAGATGATGAAGATGTCATCAATATAGTGCAAGTAGAGTAGGGGCGTTAGAGGACGAGAGCTGAGGAAGAGTTGTTCTAAGTCAGCCATAAAAATGTTGGCATACTGTGGGGCCATGCGGGTACCCATAGCAGTGCTGCTGATCTGAAGGTATACATTGTCCCCAAATGTAAAATAGTTATGGGTAAGGACAAAGTCACAAAATTCAGCCACCAGGTTAGCCGTGATAGTATCGGGGATAGTGTTCTTGACGGCTTGTAGTCCATCTTTGTGTGGAATGTTGGTGTAGAGGGCTTCTACATCCATCGTGGCCAGGATGGTGTTATCAGGAAGATCACCGATGGATTGTAGTTTCCTCAGGAAGTCAGTGGTGTCTCGAAGGTAGCTGGGAGTGCAGAATCACCTGATCAACATCCTCTACAGCAAACAGGGAAAGATTAAGAATGAGCTCTCAAAAATGGATACTCTCATAAAAAACCAACCTTCCACACAAGCTTCCTTGTGGCTGGACTTTACTAAAACTAGACAAGCCATTTACAACGCACACTTTGCTTCTCTACAAAAGAAAAAGGACACTAAACTTTCTAAAGTACTACATGCCACAAGAGGCCACAGCAATGGTCCCCTCAACCCACCCACCAATATTGTTAACCTATCCAACTGTACTCGCAGCCCAGCAGAAGCAGCTGTCCTATCTCGGGGCCTCTCCTTCTCCCCCTCCACCCCCACGAATATGATACAGTTCTGTGGTGACCTAGAATCCTATTTTCGACATCTCCGACTCAAGGAATATTTCCAACATACCTCTGAACAACATACTAATCCACAGAGACCTCCCTACCAACACTACAAAAAGAAGGAGTCTAGGTGGACTCCTCCTGAAGGTCAAAACAGCAGACTGGACTCCTACAGAGAGTGCTTCCGCCGACGGGCACGAGCTGAAATTGTGGAAAAGCAGCATCACTTGCCCCATAATCTCAGCCATGCGGAACACAATGCCATCCACAGCCTCAGAAACAACTCTGACATCATAATCAAAAAGGCTGACAAAGAAGGTGCTGTTGTCATCATGAATAGGTCGTAATATGAACAAGAGGCTGCTCGGCAGCTCTCCAACACCACTTTCTACAAGCCATTACCCTCTGATCCCACTGAGAGTTACCAAAAGCAACTACAGCATTTGCTCAAGAAACTCCCTGAAAAAGCACAAGATCAAATCCGCACAGACACACCCCTGGAACCCTGACCTGGGATATTCTATCTACTACCCAAGATCCATAAACCTGGAAATCCTGGGCGCCTCATCATCTCAGGCATTGGCACCCTGACAGCAGGATTGTCTGGCTATGTAGACTCCCTCCTCAGGCCCTACGCTACCAGCACTCCCAGCTACCTTCGAGACACCACTGACTTCCTGAGGAAACTACAATCCATCGGTGATCTTCCTGATAACACCATCCTGGCCACGATGGATGTAGAAGCCCTCTACACCAACATTCCACACAAAGATGGACTACAAACCGTCAAGAACACTATCCCCAATAATGTCACGGCTAACCTGGTGGCTGAACTTTGTGACTTTGTCCTTACCCATAACTATTTTACATTTGGGGACAATGTATACCTTCAAATCCGCGACACCGCTATGGGTACCTGCACGGCCCCACAGTATGCCAACATTTTTATGGCTGACTTAGAACAACGCTTCCTCAGCTCTTGTCCCCTAACGCCCCTACTCTACTTGCACTATATTGATGACATCTTCATCATCTGGACCCATGGAAAAGAAGCCCTTGAGGAATTCCACCATGATTTCAACAATTTCCATCCCACCATCAACCTCAGCTTGGTCCAGTCCACACAAGAGATCCACTTCCTGGACACTACAGTGCTAATAAACAATGGTCACGTAAACACCACCCTATAGCGGAAACCTACTGACCGCTATTCCTACCTACATTCCTCCAGCTTTCACCCTGACCACACCACACGATCCATCGTCTACAGCCAAGCTCTGCGATACAACCGCATTTGCTCCAACCCCTCGGACAGAGACAAACACCTACAAGATCTCTATCAAGCATTCTTACAACTACAATACCCACCTGCGGAAGTGAAGAAACAGATTGATAGAGCCAGAAGAGTTCCCAGAAGTCACCTACTACAGGACAGGCCTAACAAAGAAAATAACAGAACGCCACTAGCCGTCACCTTCAGCCCCCAACTAAAACCCCTCCAACGCATTATTAAGGATCTACAACCTATCCTGAAGGATGACCCAACACTCTCACAAATCTTGGGAGACAGGCCAGTCCTTGCCTACAGACAGCCCCCCAACCTGAAGCAAATACTCACCACCAACCACATATCATACAACAGAAACACTAACCCAGGAACCTATCCTTGCAACAAAGCCCATTGCCAACTGTGCCCACATATCTATTCAGGGGACACCATCACAGGGCCTAATAACATCAGCCACACCATCAGAGGCTCGTTCACCTGCACATCCACCAATCTGATATATGCCATCATGTGCCAGCAATGCCCCTCTGCCATGTACATTGGTCAAACTGGACAGTCTCTACGTAAAAGAATAAATGGACACAAATCAGATGTCAAGAATTATAACATTCATAAACCAGTCGGAGAACACTTCAATCTCTCTGGTCACACGATTACAGACATGTAAGTTGCTATATTACAACATAAAAACTTCAAATCCAGACTCCAGCGAGAAACTGTTGAATTGGAATTCATTTGCAAATTGGATACAATTAACTTAGGCTTGAATAGAGACTGGGAGTGGCTAAGTCATTATGCAAGGTAACCTATTTCCCCTTGTTTTTTCCTACCCCCCCCCCCAGACATTCTTGTTAAACCCTGGATTTGTGCTGGAAATGGCCCACCTTGATTATCATACACATTGTAAGGAGAGTGATCACTTTAGATAAGCTATTACCAGCAGGAGAATGGGGTGGGAGGAGGTATTTTTTCATGCTTTGTGTGTATATAAAAAGATCTTCTACACTTTCCACAGTATGCATCCGATGAAGTGAGCTGTAGCTCACAAAAGCTTATGCTCAAATAAATTGGTTAGTCTCTAAGGTGCCACAAGTACTCCTTTTCTTCTTACTGCAGTTCTGCACGTACATATCCCTTTGTTCTAGTCTGGAGGGAAGGTGCAGACAGAAAGGAGGGCAGGGAACATGCTTTCCTTCAGTACTGCCCCTGGGAGTGAGAAAAGCTACACGACTGCACTCTTCATTATTATTATGATTCAGTAATAGACCAGCCAAATCTGCAAGTAGGTCCCTGCCCGCTCACACCCCCCCCCCCGCAAATATTTACAGCCTTTCAGGATGGCCAAAGACCAAGGGGAGGTAGGAAAGAAACTCGGAGTGGCCTGTCCCATCTGCTGCCTCTGTTCGGAACATGCTCTGCAGGGTATGTACACACCATGCCTTAAATAGATCACAGTCCTTCACTCTCCACCCCCAACAGAGCTGAGCTCAGCACAGGGTCACAGGGATGGGGGCCCCTGTACAGCAGGTCCCAGAGGAGTTATGTGCAGGAGCAGGCTCTGCAGTGGGTCCCAGCAGGGTTATGTGTGGGGACAGGGATGGGGGTGAGGGTGCAGGGTGGGCTCTGTACAGCGGGTCCCAGGGGAGTCAGAGGCAGGGCCGGCTCTGCACAGTGAGTGCCAGGGGGCTTAGGTGCAGGGACGGGTGAGGGTCCCTGGTACCGGAGGTCCCAGGGGGGTTAAGCGCAGGGTCAAGCTCTGTACAGCGGCGCCCAGTTGGTTCAAAGCTACTTGATTTAAACAGGGATTTAAAAAATAGTTTAAAAATGAGCTACACTTCGTTCTAGGAGTGACAAGCAGGGGCCTTGCCCCCTCTATGCTACAGCGGGGGGGCAGGGGCTGTGCCCAGGCACTGGGCTCCTCCCCAGCCCCTGCTCCCAGAGCCATTGACAGAGGAGGCATGTGGGGAATGTATAGAGGGGCCGGAGCCCAGCTGGCTGTCAGTTTGCTGCTCAGGGGCAGAGGTGGCTATATGACATCTTTCCACCTCCTGAGAATATCTGCTTCTCCAGGGGCCCTGCCTGGATCCCCAGCCCCGGGGGCTGCTCTTACACTCTGCTTCCATCGGTGATTGTGGCAGCTGAGAAAAGGCAGAGTGCAGGGCGCCCCAGCCACATTCCTGCATGTCCCCAGCAGGTCCCTATGAACCAGGGGTTGGTGAACACTCACTCTGCTCGCCCCATGTCATCCCCTTACTCAGGAGATGAACAGATTGATCATGTTTCTAGAGCCTTACAGTTACACAGGGGCTGTGATCGAACCCAGAACTGCCCCCCTTTTGTCTGTATCACTCACTTCCATCCCAACAAGGGTAAACTCATTTATGAGGACCAAACCATCCAGATCACTCAAAGCCAGAGCAGCGCTGGGTGCAGGGCCCCTTGCTGCTGTGCACTGGGCAGCCGAGAATGATCACTGTCAATATTACTGCCTGGTGAGAGGATCTAAGGGAATCGCTGGAGAGAATCATAGAATCATAGGACTGGAAGGGACTTTGAGAGGTCGTCTAGTCCAGTCCCCTGCACTCAAGGCAGGACTAAGTATTATCTAGACCATCCCTGACAGGTGTTTGTCTAACCTGTTCTTAAAAATCTCCAATGATGGAGATTCCACAGCCTCCCTAGGCAATTTATTCTAGGGCTTAACCCAGCATCTCCAGCCAGTGGGCTTTCAGGGAATTGACTTTATTTCCTCCTGCCAATGGAGACACATTAGAAAGAGTTTCATCAAAGACTAAATTCCAGCAATGCTGTTTTTTCTTTCCCATGGTGGGAATTGACCCCTGCCCACTCCTGCCAAAGCAAAAAAAAACCACACCAAGTCTTTTTCTTCCCTCTCAGGATCAATTCCAAACCCATTTGCTAATGCTGAAGGAAGAGAAAGAAAAGCTCACAAAATGTAGACAGTCTGAAGAGAGGAAATTGCAGGAATTCCTGGTAGGTCCCATTGTCATTAACCAGTAGTTATTATTTGGGGTAACAATCTTTGAGGGTATATTTTGCTGTGGCATTATGGAGGAGTGTATGTTTTTCCTCTGTGGCCATGTGGTGCTACGGGAGATAGTGTGTGTGTCCCTATCTCTCTGTAATTGTGTTTCTGTGTTTGCACACTTTTGTGCATGTCTGTTTTGTGTGTCACAGCTCTTGGTGAGTTGTTGCTCTCTCTGTGTGCATGTAGTGTGTGTGTGTGTAGATGTGTGAGTAACTGTTGTCAGGATAGCACCATTGACCCATTTAAATGTTGTTTTTGTGTGTTGTGGTTTTTCTCCTCATGGATGTCTGCCTGGGGAATTCTGAGTCCTACCCCCTTCTGCTCTTTCTATTGATAGACTTGGGTTGTCAGGGGCCAGTGCAAAAGAATTTCTAATCATGCCAGATATCAGACATGATAAACAGAAAATGGGGCTGGCTGGGGGGGGGGGTCTCTAGGAAAATCTTCTCTCTCATCCATAGGGAAAATTTCTAAGGCAATATCTTAAGCTGAATTTTAGAGGTTGTGGTGAATTTTCCCTCCTGCACATCTCAAGGGCACTGGAACGGGGTGGTCAGGGGGCAATGGCCCCATCACTTTTTATCAGCCATAGGGGCAAGTGATTGGGGGAAGGGACAGAAAGGAGTGAGCCAAGAGTAGGGTTTTGAGGGGAATAGGCGGCACGGGAGCAGGGGAAGGGATGGTGCGAGGGTGGGGTCTGGGGGTAACAGGCGGTGCAAGGGTAGGGTCTCAGGGGGAAGAGGCGGCCTGGGAGGCAGGCCATGGTTCAAGTGCCGGTGGGGCCCCCCCACACACACTTTTAGGGTGCTTCTGGCACAAACTCACCCTGATTGTCTCCAAAACTCTGACCTGCCCTTTCCTGATTTGTCATTGTTCACTAAAGGAAAAGACGGAAGCCGAGAGGCAGAAGATTGTGTCTGAATTTGAGCAACTGCGCCAGTTTCTGAAGGAACAAGAGCGACCCCTGCTGGCATTACTGGAAGAGCTGAAGAAGGAGATTGCGAAGATTCAGGACGAAAAGGTCACCAAACTCTCCGAGGAGATTTCCCATCTCAGTGAGCTGATCGGTGAGATGGATAAGAAGTGTCAGCAGCCGGTGAGGGAATTCCTGCAGGTGAGCCTGAGTTAGAGCCACACCAGGAAATTTATTTGTATCAACCCCCTCCCCTGCCTCTGGCTCACTGGCAATGATTACCCTGGCCACAGAACCCTCCCCTTCCCTTCCTCAAACAGGTATGTCACTGGAGGGGAAGGTGGTCAATTTCCCCCATTTATGGTTCTACTCTGTCAGCTCTTCTGAGCTCCCAGAGCGAAGATCTGTTTGAGGACAATTCCTTATTTCCTGACTCAGGGGTCATAAAACAGCTGGCCCCTCAACAGTTGTGCCACAACACACCTCCAAAGGCTGGCAAAGAGGCCAAACCCCGACCCTGCATCCTCCCAACCCCAACATCCCTTGCACTCCTCCAACACCATCCACACACGTATTCTCCTCTCTGCGCTGACCACTCATATTGCCTAACTCTGCACAAAGAAGTTACATGACGCTAAAGATGCTATGAGCAATTCCTGGTAGGGGCTCTGGGAGTCAGGAACCTCTCGGCCAAATGTCCCAGAAACTTGCTTTCCTTTGATCACAATCAGTCAAATTGTTCAGGATATGGTTGAGGAGCATGATTACTTTACATGGACTAGTAGAATCTTTCATGATGCCTCTAATTAATGTGAATTCCTTTGACAATACATCTAAAGTAAAATCAGAGTCTTCTTGTGGATTTTAGAGCACTTTACAATATTGCTTTTAAATCAGGGTATGTCTACATTTAAAACAATACAGCTTTGCCGCCATAGCACTTCAGTGTAGACAAGGTGATAATCCATTTTAGCTGTACCAGAGCTTCCATTTCGCTATAACTTGCTTGCGTTATTCCATGGGACTATCCGGTGGTTGTTGCTGAAAACCTGGCCTGTTTATCCAGGTATTCATAGTTGAATTTGGAAAGTCACAAACTCCAGTGAAGCATGTCGGGAGCTCAGCGTATGATGGCACAGCGAGTCCTGTCCAGAGCAGGAGAGAGCCCCAATGCATGGTGCATGGAACTGAACTTCCTGTTTCTCTCTGTTTCCCCTATAGGGCATCAGATGCACCTTGAACAGGTAGATGGCTCCTTCTCAATTGCCTTCGTACTTCATTATTCTAGGAACAGGCTGGGACACCACGTTACCAAAAAATCACCTCCAGGCCCAACAGCAAAGTGGGGCAAGGTGACACATGGAGTAGGCCTCTCCCTCTGTTTAATAGAAACCTGGGGTTCCTGCATTTCATGCAAAGCTAACAGTATCATAGGCGCCGATTCCGTGGGTGCTCTGGGGCTGGAATACCCATGGGGAAAAAATGGTGGGTGCTGAACACCCACCGGCAGCCCCCCCATCAGCTCCCCCCAGCCTCCCCAGTGTCTCCCGCCCACCGGTGGAGCCCACGGATCAGCAACTCCCCATCCCTCCCCACACCTCCGCCTGCCCCAATCAGCTGTTTTGTGACATATGGGAGGCTCTGGGAGGGAGGAGGAGGAGCGAGGACATGGCGTGCGTGGGGGAGGGGGGCGGAACTGGGTGGGAAGAGGTGGGGTGGGGTGGGGCCTTGGGGTAAGGGGTGGAGTCGGGGCGGGGCCTGGGGCAGAGCCAGGGGGCGAGTGCCCCCCGGCACTTTGTAAAATTGGCGCCTGTGAACAGTATTATCTGATCACCTGCCTTCCCAGGGTGGGGGAGATGTCCCAGGCCTGTGGAATGGAGTATGAGCCTTTCACCTCTTGGGGGTTTGAGTTCTGTAGGGCCCAGGTCAGGAGCAAATAAAAGTCTTGATGACGATTTGGAAACCTAAGGAATGGGCTGGTGAGAGGGGAGTTGATCTCAGTCCAGATCCAGGTGGACAGGTGCCCACAGCCGAGTGACTAGCAGACATATGGGAACCTGTTGGCCACCAAAGCACAGAGGACAAAGAGTCAATTGCACATGGGGATCGAACTCCCTTCCTATCCCTAAAGCTGGTCCCACTGGGCCAGGTTGAAGCACATTCATGGGACACCAGGGGGAAAGTTTGAACTGCCACTGGCTGGGATATAACTGCTCTGTGGCTGGGACACACAGAGAAATTCTCTAGGCCCCACAGCTCAGTATTTTCATAGTAAAATAAAATGCTTGTTAACCGGAAAAAGTTTGTTGCTCTCTAGATGTGAAAAAAGGAAGTTCCAGCAGCCAGAGGAGATTTCTCCTAAGCTGGAAATCAAACTTGATTTTTGGTGTCAGCAAAATATTGCCCTGAAGGCTACTCTGAGGAAATTCAAAGGTACTAAGGTCTAGTGAGGAAGCTGAAACCTGTGCTTTTGGGAGGTGATGGGCTCCAGCTGATTACTTATGATTAGATGCTTACATCAAACTGAAATAAACCAGAGCCTAACTTTCAAACACAGCTCCTGAATCAGGGGGCAAAGGGCTGGGGAATTTCCAAGCAAAAATAAATTATTGTTCACAATCAATAATGATACAAATGTGATTCCTTTTTCCATTAAGAAATTTCTTCTAAGTAATGAGAAAAACAGAATCCAGGTGAAGGGAGCCATGTCACATTCTCCTGACAACATTCAGTTATGGCTTCATCCTGTTTATAAATGGAGACAAGAGCCCCCCAAACTGCTATTTAATAACAAAGAGAAAGGAAATATATCTAAAGATAGTGCAGCAGTCTGGGAGTCGGGATTGCTGGGCTCTGTTCCAGCTCTGCCATTGACTCGCTGTGCGACCTTCATAAGAACATAAGAATGGCCAGTCTGGGTCAGACCAAAGGTCCATCTAGCCCAGTATCCTGTCTGCCGACAGTGCCCAATGCCAGGTGCCCCAGAGGGAGTGAACCTAACAGGTCATGATCAAGTGATCTCTCTCCTGCCATCCATCTCCACCCTCTGACAAACAGAGGCTAGGGACAGCATTCCTTACCCATCCTGGCCAATAACCATTAATGGACTTAACCTCCTTCGCCAAATCAGCCTCTCCCTGCCTCAGTGTCCCCATCTTCAAAATGACAATTACAATCATTCCAGTCCCCACAGGAGGGTGTGGATCTGATGTGCAACTGGTGGATGTATTAAAATGCTTCCAGATCCCTACATGTAACAAACACTGAGGGCCTGATATACAGCAGTGCTGAGCACCAGCGCGTCCCATTGACTTCAGTTAGAGCTGTGGGTGCACAGAGCCCTTGAAAATCAGACCCTGTGTGAGCAGAGTGTTCACCTGAAATCCTTGGATGGACCGAGTGATATAAGGCCTGGTCTTTATTTACACTAACACCTTTACGGTTATTTATAACACCTTTACGGACTGACAGTATGAAGGGGCTTTAAAGTGTGTAAAGGCCTCTTTACACTGTCAGAGCCATACAAAGGGTCCTCAGAGCAAATGAGAATCAGGCCCCTCGTTATGCAAAGTGTTCCCAGAATATTCCTGATTCTGTTTAATTATACTTTGCCCTTCCTAGAAATTCTTCCTGTATGTCTTCATTTCTCAACCTTCTTCTGTCTCTCAACCCCCTTCCTTCTGCTTGGGTTTCAAAATTAAAGAACAGTTGTGTCAATTAATAGCAGAAAGCTGGCCATAAACATGACAGCCCGAAATCTCATCTCTCTCTCCCCTTCTCCTCACTCTAGACATGCTGTCATCTGAACTGAAGAGAGAATGGGAATTGTCTCTGCCACAGGGTGTAACAAAATCACATACAAAGGGTGAGTTTTACAGGGATTTGGGCCTCAGATTCTCAGTGATTGTGGAAAAACCTTTCTGGGATCAGAGACCCAACTCATCTCAAACTAGGCTCAACATGTGAATGAGAAGGGGGTTGCTGTGACAGGTAGAGATTGATTCTCCCTGCCCGGGGAATCCTGTGCTGGGCACTCACTGTGACTGAGGATTGGGAGGGGGGGGCACGATACCCCAGACAGACCATGTTGACCGTCTTTTTTCAGCGAAAAGCTAGAGCATTAAACATTTATCCAATGGTTATTTTATCCAACATTGCACCTGGGTCCCCTGAATGTGTCTTTAAAAAAAAATTATTTGAAGAAAATTAGAAGGATGAAATTAGAGGTTGGTGAAACTGCTGATGTAGAAATAAAATAAAACTGGGTGTTTGTAATGAACATGTACACTGAAAATGGCTGTGTGACCTTTTCTTTAATGGAACATACCATCTGGTGGATCTGTATCACATGGTCGTTTGACCATTCCTATGCAAACACAGCCCAGATGCGGTTTTCAACCTTTTTTCACTTGCGGACCTCTAAAAAATTTCAAATGGAAGTGCAGACCTCTTTGGAAATCTCAGACATAGTCTGCAGGCCCCCAGGGTCTGTGGACACAGGTTGAAAGCCACTGGTCTATGGTAATGACGACCTTTCACGGATGCTTTAGACATAGTCTGCAGACCCCCAGTGGCCTGTGGTCCACAGGTTGAAAACCACTGGTCTACAGCATCTTAGGTACCAATGTGCCGACGTTAGCATGTCCCTTAAATTAACATTATGCACACCCGAGTGCAAACATGTTAATTTGGACATGAGGAAAAACTGGGGCTGCTGGGGATTTTTAAGAGCAGGTTGGACAAACACCTGACAGGGATGGTCTAGATAATACTTCGTCCTGCCATGAGTGCAGGGGGCTGGACTAGACGACCGCTTGAGCAGTAGCGTAGCTACGGGGGGAGTGGGGCAGCGGCCACTCCCACACCGAGCACAAGTGGGGCCTTTTTAATGTCTTGGCACCTTTTTAATTTTTACTCACCCAGCGGTGCTCCGGGTCTTTGGCAGCCGGTCAGGCGGCGCTCCGGGTCTTCAGCAGCTCTTCCGCGTCGGGTCCTTCACTCGCTCCGGTCTTCGGTGGCGGGGGGGGGGGTCCTTCAGTGCCGCCGAAGACCGGAGCGAGTGAAGGACCCGACGCCGAAGACCCGGAGCGCCACCGGGTGAGTACAAGCGGGTGGCATCTTTGTTATCTCTGCTCCCCCTGTTTTCTCCACCTGGCTACGCCACTGCTCTCGAGGTCCCTTCCAGTCCTACGATTCTCTGATTCTATGTATGGGGAAACCTTGTCTGGAAAGTGACATTTATAATGCTTACAGGCTAATTCCCCCATGTTTGTAACAGTTTTAGTGCCATGAGTGGATGGGTCTAGTGCTGCACAAAATCGTATTTTAAAAAATGGAGTGAACTTATTGACAGTTGATTAAAATCTTCCTTGAAACCAGTATATAGGCTGTGGAGAGGTAGAAAGAATTTGCAAGACCTGTCCAGGGAGAGGTAATAGGAAAAAAGACAGAGAGCCAAGCTCTGCAACCACAACCTCAGCTGTAACAGCATCTTCAGTGTCTGGAAGGAGGGAACTGCAGTGAAATCCCAGCTCAGCCCCAGCACAGAGGCAATTCCCTGGGACCCAGGACAGAAAGACAGAAAACTAGGGACTGTCCCAGCCAGAACGGGGCTGCTGGGGAGTGTGAGAAATGGCCCCAGCCTCCCCCAGATCTGAGCTCTGCCCCTAACGCTCGGATTCTCTCTCTCTCCCCAGCGAATGTGACTCTGGATCCAGACACGGCTCATCCCAGGCTCATCGTGTCTGCAGATCGGAAATGCGTGAGATGGGGAAACACACAGCAGGATCTCCCTGATAATCCCAAGAGATTTGATTTTATTCTCTGTGTGCTGGGCTGTGAGGGATTCACCTCGGGGAGACATTTCTGGGAGGTGGACGTGGGAGATGGGGGACGGTGGGCCGTGGGGGTGGCCAGAGAGTCTGTGAGGAGGAAGGGAGAGATCATCCTGAATCCTGAGGGGGGGATCTGGGCTGTGCGACAGTGGGAGGGCCAGTACCGAGCTCTCACCTGCCCAACAACCTTCCTGTCCATGAGCTACAGCCCCCAGAAGATCCGTGTTTCTCTGGACTATGATCAGAGGCAGGTGACATTTTTCGACGCTGATAACAAGGTTCTGATCTATACTTTCCTGCTGGTCTCTTTCACTGGGGAGAGAATCCACCCTTGGTTCCGAGTGGGGACGGGATCTCAGCTCAGGCTCTGTCCCTGAGACAAGAGGGGAATGTCCCACTGGGGACCCTGCAATTTTCCCTTGTAGCCTCTGACGTCCTCATCTCCACGGCCCTGGCCAAATCCCAGCTTCCCGCAGACCTTCTACTGCATACTCTGGAGTGTCCAAACCACAACAGGCTACCAGGGAGAGATGGAGATACAGAAGCCAATCGCATTGCCACAAGGATTTGACACCTGTTTGTCATGGTCCTCAGTGATCCAGAAGAACTCTAGCTGCCTGTAGGGTCGGAGACTGATAGATGGGAGCCGTAGTTAATTAAAGTGAAGGGCAGTGAAAAGGAGAGAGACACAAAGCAAAGTACGTGACAGTGGGATTGGTGAATGCTAATGAAAGCGATGCTGTCACTCATGGCATAGTTCATCCATTCAATGCACTATTGGGGCATGAAAAGTAGGGCCATTTCTGTGCCTTTATAAAGACTTTGTACAAATTTTGCAACTTTTCTCTTTTTTAATTATTCAGTGATCACTGCCAGGGAAAAATTGTGCCAGGTAAAGGGCTGGTGCAAGGCACTTGCATCACAGAGCAGAGGGAGCAAGGTCTAGGTCGCAAGAGGGCAGACTTTGGGAAATTAAGGGAATTAGTTAAAGAAGTCGCTGGACTGACGTTCGCAAGGACTGAAATGGAAAAGCAGCTTGGAATTTCTTTGGCCCAACTGTACAAAAGCTAGCTGAAATTTACATCCCAAACAAGGGGGGGAAACTTGTAGGGAAAGGCTCCAGACCTGGCTGGCTGGATAACCACCAATATGGAAAGGGAAAATGACGAGCAAAGAAAGCTACATCAAGGAAGATAGAAAAATGTTCGAATAAAGTGAGAATTGCTGAGAGTGACGCGGAATTAGCTCTTGCCAAATGAAATAAAACAAATACTGAGTGGTTTTTTAGTTACATAAATGAAAAGAGAATAAGGAAGGAAGTGGTAGGCCCACTATGCACTGTGGATGGGAAAGGGATTAAAGATAAGCTACAGTATAGCCCAGAAGCTAAATTCGCATTTTGCGTTGGTTTTCAGTGAGGATGATCATATGATCTTACAACGTATTAGCCGAGGCATTTCCAGCAAAGGCTGAGAAGTATTAATGACATTGCACAAGGCACTGGTAAGATCTCATCTGGCATACTGTGTAGAGTTCTCGTCTCCCATGTTCCAGAAAGATTAATTTAAACTGCAATAGGTACAGAGAAGACCTAATAGGATAATCAGGGGAATGGAGACAGGGGTGCTGGAATGGGGGGACCAGGAGGCCACGGTCCCCTTACTTTTCACAGTGGGTGGGCCAGGCCCATCCACTTCTTAACATGAGCGTAGTTTGAGGGGCAGTGAGCTGCATTGCCCCGCCAAAATGCAAGCATCAGGCAGGCGCGGAGCGACGCGAGCAGGGGCTGCACTTCGCGACCCCTGCCTGCAGCACCAGCCTCTTCCCAGCCGGCCCCTCTCAGTGGCCCCACCTCTGCTCCTCCTCTTCCCCCCAGGGGCCCATCCCCTGGCCAGGCCAGAAGGCAGAGCCAGCCTGCTGCCCAGGGAGTCCAGGCCGCTGTGGGGAGCCCTGGGCCCTCCATCTGCCCTGGGCGACGCGGTGTAATCGTGTGACAGAATACAGCTCTGCATTCACACCCTACACACTATTGTAATAATCTTTGTTCAAAGTATGACTTGTAAGTGAGGCTGCGAGTTTGTCACGGAAGTCACAGATTCCGTGACTTTCCAGGACCTCTGTGACTTCTGAGCAATTCAGGCAGCCCCTGGGCCAGCCACACCAGCCGCTGCTGGGGCAGTCTCGCCCCCCACTCCCCCCGTCAGCAGCAGTAGGAGTTTTTGTCTGGGGGGGACTCAGTGCTAGGGGTTGTCGCACAGGAGGGGGTGAGGGGCAGCGCTTACCTCAGGGGTGGGCTCCCCAGAAGCAGCGACATGTCCCTCGCTCCCTCAGCTCCTAGCTCCGTGCACTGCCTCCGCCTGCAGACACCGCCCCCGCAGCTCCCATTGGCTGCGGTTCCCGGCAATGGGAGCTGCGGAGCCAGCGCTGGGGCGGGGGCAGCGCGCAGAGCTAGGAGCTGAGGGAGGGACGTGTCGCCACTTATGGGGAGCCACAAGGAGCCGGGTAGGGAGCCTGCCAGCTCCACCAACCCCAGCACCAGCAGGGGTTCTGGACTACTCCTGCCCAAGATTTAGTCAGGGGTATATAGTACAAGTCATGGACACGTCACAGGCTGTGAATTTTTGTTTACTGCCCGTGACCTGTTCATTACTTTTACTAAAAACAAAACCTGTGACTAAAATGTAGCCTTACTTGTGAGGTATCATATGAAAACTCATAATTTTCTGGTCATTATTGTCCTGGTAATATATGTGTGGCAACTGTGTGTGTGTGAAGTGATAAGATCCCCCTATATGGTGTTGTTAACATGTGTTCAAAACCCCACAGTACTGTCCAAAGAGAAGGTGGCAAACAGGTCTGTCCTAAACGAAAGAACGTGTGCTCTGCTTCATTTGCATTTGAGCAATAAACAGAGTTATCAAGCAGAAGGGGAAAACAAAGGAAGTTCAAACAGGTGAAAAAAACAGCAGGGAACATTCTTCTACATACATACTCTGGCTCCTGGTACTCTGTTTTTCAAGAGGGGGACTGAAGCTATGAAAAGAAGGGACAAACATCCCAAAACACTCCTCTGTCTCTCATCACATTCACTGCACCTGAAGAGACAAAGGAAGCATTTACTGGGAGAGGGAGTCCTGACCTAGATGGTTTGGTCAGTAAGGATGCTGAAAGCATGTGGTGAGAAACTTTGCTTGAATCTAATATAGTTTGTTAAGTTAGGCATTAGTAAGTGTTCTATCTTTATTTTTCTTTTATGCCTCATGACTTGTAGTCACTTAAAATCTCTCTTTGTGGTTAATAAACTTGTGTTATTGTTTTATCTAATCCAGTGCACTCATGTTGAAGTGTCTGGGTACCTCCATTTGGGGTGACAATTTGTGTGCATATTGCCTTAAAGGAATAACGAACTCAAGCTATTTGCGTTGCCCAGGAGGGGAATAAAGGACTTTCATTTCTGGGGGAAGAGCCAGGACTGGGAGTGTGCTGGGGTCACCCTGCAGTATAACCAGGGCTGGTAAGAGCCAAGGTGTGGCTGGCTGACCACAGCACTCATAGAGGCTTATTGGAGGCTGTTTGTGAGCAGTCCAGGCTAGAGGTTACAGCAGCAAGGCAGTTTAAAGGGCACCCCAGGTTACAGGGCAGGGGTGACACTGGATTGTACCCTGGCATGTCACAAGTAGCTTGGTCTCATTCTAGTTTCGGGGGGGTAGGGGGGGTTCTGTTGGTATTTGGTGGTGGTAGCCTGTGTGATGCAGTTTCTCCATGATCTAGTGGTCCCTTCTGGCTCTAAACTCTTGCTCAGTGCCCATGGCAAAGCCACATCTGAATACTGGATAAGGACTGAGAAAGAACCTCCATGGAGATTACAGTAAGGTAGCGTTTCTCAAATGCGGCCACCAGGGCTTTTCTTGTGGCCACAGCCTCCTGGGCAGTGATTTGGGGGGATGGGGGGATGCGACAAAGCAGTGGCCCCCTCCCCAGGGCCACCAGCAGGGTCTGGGCCCTGCCCCCCCTCAAGTCACAAATGCCAGAGAAGCAGGCAGCCAGTGAGAGTTCCCCACCTTCCCAGGAGCAATGGGGCTCAGGCTTCTTGCTTCAGCCCTGGGGTGGCAGACGGCAGGCTCCAGCTGTGAGGCTCCAGGCTCCGGCCATGCAGCGGCAGGCTCTGTCCCCTGGCCGCAGGGCTTCAAGCTCTGGCCCTGGCCTCACCATGACCCCCATCACCCCTGGCTCCCACTGCCTCCTCTGGCTCTGGCCTGGTCCAGGACTCTGACAGTAAGGCTTCAGGCTCCGGCCCTGGGCTTCAGCCAAGTGGCAGAAGGCTCTGGCCCTGGACCACAGCCATGGGGCCCCAGGATTCAGGCGCCAGTCCCAGGCTCACCACCATCCCCATCGTTTCTGGCTCCTGATGCCTCCCCTGGCCCCCATGCATCCCCCCATCACCTTTGGCCCCGCTGCCTCCCTCCCCACCTCCCCAACCAGGGCTTACCTGGATTGCCAGGGCTGAGTAAGTCTGCTGTGAAAAGTGATGTTTGTTAATATCACCTTTCACAGCAAACTTAGTAGCAAGCTGGGAGGCTGTGAAAAGTGATATTAACAAACAGACAAATATCACTCTTCACAGCCACAGACGTACTAGCTAGTAAGTCTAAAAAAACAACAACAAAAAGGACAAGAACATGCAAAGCATCTTATTTGTGTTTCTATTCTGTTTAGGTCCAGCAAAGAATAGAGACAACTGTACAATATTTTTATTATTGAGTCCTCAAAAAATACTCTTCATAAATACATTACAATGATTTGGGCATGGATATGTGCATATTTATTTGTTTTTCCTAAAATGAATTATTTTAGGAAAAATTGTCAGAGTGGCCACCAGCAAGAGGCCACCAAAAGATTTGTTGTGAGAGCCCCACTAGACCATATTCCCCTTTGTAAGCCAGGAACAGAAACAAAGAGGCCTAATTCTCACACAGCTGCTCTAACCACTAGTTCATTCTTCCTCCCACATCTGGGAATAGGAATTTGGGTGCTGACTCCTAGGCCTTCTGCTCTAACTAGTAAAACATCCTTCCTCTCAAAGTCAGGAATGGAACTCAGGAATCCTGCCGCCTAGTTCTGTCTTATTCACTGGACCATGTTGTCTTCTCGAGGCCACCAATAATACTGGCCATGAGGTTCCACATCTGGAACCTCAAATCACAACTCCTTGCACTGGTAGAGAGTGGATAAGCCGCCTCGGATCAGAGCTGTGGCCAGATCCTTTATTCTGAGGCCAGATCCAAAATCAGATGGGAGTTTAGGCCAGATTTACAGAGGTATTTAAGCGTCTAAAGATTGCAGAGTCCTGCCTAACTCACATAGGGACATTTGAAATCCACGCAGACACAAGGATAGTCAATGGGAGTTCAGCCCCTAACCTACGTAGGTGCTTTTGAAAATCCCAGTAGGCACCTACCTGCGCCTTTTGGCACCTTTGAAAATCTGGTCCTAAATTTTGAGTCTACTTGAGGTTATAGGTAGAGAGATCTTCATGCTGACCAGGCACTGTATAGACCTAGCACCTAATGGGCCATGAAAGATCAGAGAGCTGCTGGGGCATGTTGGTAAATTTCATAGGAAGCAGAGGAAATGTGGTCTGGGCAGAAGCACTCTGTGTAACCTTGAAAGCTTGTTTCTCTCACCACCAGATGTTGGTCCAGTAAAAGATATTACCTCACCCACCTTGTTCCTTCAACTTGTCATCTTGCATTTGCACATATAAAATTCCAAATGTTGACATAGCAACCCCCTGTATTTGCATGTTTCTTGTGTGCCTATGTCTCTCATCCCCCAAAATTTCACCTGAATAAGCAGATGTTAAATCCTGAATTGCAAAAAACTCGTCACATTCAAAACCTTTAATATGAATGTATGTCACACTAAATTTGTGCCTATTACTTCCTACATTTTTTCATCTGAACCCTAAGGCTCTGATCAAATGCAGGGTTGTAGGCATATAAACTTCGAGATTTACCCATGTAAATTCACGGGAGTTGGTGTGAAGAATTGGGTGTTCAGGTGTTAAAGAAGGCTAATTTGTAGGGGGTGTACATAATTCAGTGGTTCATGCATGAAATTCAGGGGTTCACCTTTGCTAATTGCTGGTGTTAATATGAGCAAAATTTGCTAGTTCATGGGTATAAATTCACAGGGTCTCTTATGCTAATTTGTGGGTTGTCAGTGCAATTTAAAAGTGACTGTTCATAGAAATTCTGGGGTTCAAGTTGCAAATTCAGGAGTTCATCTATACCAATTTGGGGGGGGGAGCAATGCAAATTTGGAAGTTTATGTATGAAAATACAGAGGGGGTTATATGCACATTCCAGGATTTCTGCATGCAGATTCAAGGGTTCACCTGTCCCAATTTGCGCAGTGTGGAAATTTGGGGCGGGGGAAGTTAGCCCAGCCAGTTCCTAGGTTCCCCTATGCAAACATGGGAAAGGTGCACGCCAAATAAATCCATAAACAAATAAATCCAAAGTAGGGGTTGTGCATTCATGCTGGTATTAAGGATCACATGTGCCAGTTTGGGTGGGGTGCAAATTCTGAATTTTCCACGGGTCATATGGGGGATTCTACACAAGCAAACGTGCTGGACTTTTACGTGCAGATCCCGTTTTTCCAGACCGTGGGGATCCCTGGTGCTTAGACTCTGCATCATTAAAGACGCGCTGCATTGAGAGCCCAGCTCCTTAGCCCAGCCACGTGCCAGCCGCTCCCTTTCTGCGGCTGCCCTTAGACCTGCCCAGCCTGGTAGCCCCTCCAAGCAAACAGGCTGTACCTGGGCCCCGCCAGCCGCAGCGCCACCCGGCGGGCCCGGACTGTACTTGTCTCTTCAGGGGCTAGACTGACTGCCCGTTCTCTATACTGCACAGATAGGAGAGGGTTGTACGGAAAGCACAGACATGGCCGCCTCCAGGTTGTATTCCCCCCTAAAGCCGCCGCCATTGCCACGTTGCGTCTGTATTTCCAGCACGGAAGAACATACGGGCATTCCCCATGGGGGTCGCCATGATACGTTCCGTATACAGGCCGCCATATTGTGCTCATACGGGTACCAACCTGAGGCGCCGCCGTATTGGATTCCTTTGAGGAATATGAGGATTTCTCAGAAATGTCGCCATCTAGGGGCCTGTACAGACGTCACCATATTGGATTCGTCTGATGCACATGAGCTTTCATCATAGACGCCACCATATTGGATCCATTGGGACCACGTAGCCACCAAGTTGAATACCTACACGGGCGCCGCCATATTGCGACCCTCTCCTGCCGGCGGCCATATTGACGTACAGCCGCGCAGAGGGAAGGCTATTTCCGCTTCCGGGTGACGTCAGCGCTTCCTTTCTCTTTGGGCCGCTAGCTGAGCGAGAGGACGGGACGGGTTGGGCCCGCCGCCGAATCCGCCTCCATCCTCCTTCCCCGCTCGAGCTGAGCCCCCCGCGCCGCCGCCGCCATGACGGAACAGATGACCCTGCGCGGCACCCTTAAGGGCCACAACGGCTGGGTGACCCAGATCGCCACCACCCCGCAGTTCCCGGACATGATACTGTCCGCCTCGCGCGGTGAGCGCCGTGGGCCAGACCAACCGCCGCGGGGTGGGGTGCGGGGGGGGCGAAACCATCTTATAGTTGAGGGGGCGCATTGTCAGGCTGCGCTCGCGGGGGTGGGGGGCGCGGAATGGAACCGATTCACCCACGATGGGGGGCGCGGTGGGAGGTTCTATCTCTCCAAGTGCGGGAGGGGGGGATGGGTGAGACCATCTGGTAGTCACCCGGAGCGGGAGGTTTGTCACTGCAGAGGGGAGGACATGGGAAGAAGATCCCATCTCGCTGGGGGGAAGGGGGGGGTCATGGGGAGACCAGCTCTCACTCGTGGGGGCAGGCAAGGGAGGGACCATCTCAGCCATGGGAGGGGGGCGAAGTCAGTGTCATCCCGGGGGGGGCACAGACTTGTGTACCTGAGGAGGAGGGGCAGGGCAGGGGGGTCCAGATACTGGGGGGGGGGGTGAATAACAGTGAATTACTCCTTCCCCTCACAGCCTAACTCCTTGGGTGGGGAGGTGGCAGTGAGGACTCTGGTCTGGGGCTCCGGACACCTGGGTTCAATTCCTGGCTCTGGCTCCTATTTCCCTTCTCCTTCCCCCCAACCAGGTGACACCACCTGTCTGTCCCCGGGCACTTCCCACCTGGGGCTCTCTGAGTGCTTCTCGATCTTGGGGGCGGGGGGGGGCCTCTTGTCCCATTGTTATATATAGCTC